TTTTCCAAATTGTCTCTTGTGTTCTTAGCAGTTGATGGCCATCCAAACCTTTTGAAATTCTCCATTCTATGCATGACCTTGAACAAGACCATGGCTCAGGCACGAACGGCGTCTTTTGGGACCTACAGATTCATCTCACTGCCACCTCCTCATACAAGCTTCATCGCTTCTCGTAAAAGCGTAATTTGTGTAGTGCCCGGATGGCATTCTGACCGCTAACAAACTCTGCCAAACAAATTCCTATGTGCTTGACCAGAGAGAATATTATGCAGACCTCTGCATGTCCCGATGTTCACTAAGATAAAATGGCAACCTCGGACCCCCGAACATGCTGCATGAAGCTGCAACATGGTCCAGAAAAAGTGCGCTTCGCTCAAGCAAAAAGGTCGACCTACAGGTAGGGTGCTACGGCAGCGAGAGGGTTTTAGGGTTTAGGTAGTTCTTTCCCACTTCTTCTTCTCCCCAGTTCTTATTTACATTCACCAACTACCACTTTTCGAAATCAATTACATAAACTTTGACCGTCGCTTACCCAGTTCATCAAGTTCCCATCCTTGGTACGTATGGTAGTCGCCTGCTTGACTCCTTCCTATTCAATACCAACGTGCATTTGTTCCAGACTGCACTCAGCTGCATTCCTCTCTCCTCCATTCTTCCTCCAACAACAAATTTACTTGGGTACCCATCAGCTTTGTAAGTTCCATTCGCCCTACATACTTCCAGTCGACGAAGTCACGGTAGATATTTTGACCTCGACCTCTGATCATCGTGTTATTACCCATCTAGAATTCACTCGCTCCACACATACCTCTACTTACAGGTACACACAGCTTTTCAGAAAACCGCCAGGAACTCTGCACGAACCCACACGCCTCCAAAGTCGAAAGTCGAAAACCGGCTCGAAGCGAAAAAATACACATCGAACAATCGGAAAATGCCACCCATAAATCCTGCACAGATGCTGTCCCTTTCGCTCTACACACTCCTACACACAAGGCTGTCTCTTGGGCCATCCAACTGGCCAATGTGGAAGCGGGCTGTGGTGATTATCCTCTTATACCTGTTGGTGGTGCATATGCGGATGTATTTTCATTACTACGATGACGACAACGACGAAAAACCCACGAGATGGATCGAAATATTTCCAGGAACGGAGAGGGCTCGGATTATCCGTCGTCCGAGACTGCCGAGGCAGAGTAATAGAGCGGAACTTGCACGAGTTGCAGGGGTGGCTGTTGTGTTGATGATTGTTTTGTCGATGGGTTAGGAAGTTACCTGGAATTTTTATCCAGGTACCGGATAAGTTGGAGCAGGGATCTGGATACCACTGGTCAGGCCGATGCATATTGTAGGGAAGTGTCCATTGGCGTGTGACGGGCATCGTGGAATCTCTTCAGAATTTCTTTTATCTTCTTTTTGGTATTTTTATCTCCACCACGACGTCAGATCTGAATAACTCACGATAGTCATCACTTGGGGGTCAGTTATATGTTTCTTTGTTCTTGTTCTTCTCATGATTCCAAGCTGATCCGGTAATAACTCCATTTCCCATTATGCTGCCCTGTCCATGTCGTTAACTTGGTAAAGGTAGCACTTCCATCGTCGTTGGTTCTTTGTTTCCCTTCTTTACACCTCCTCCTCCTCCTCCATGTCCTCCTCATCCTCCTCCTCCTTATCTTTATCTTTATCTTTATCTTGCGCCAAATCTCCTATAGCGAGTACACCAATGACACGAAGCGTAAAGGACACGGTCGACCTTGGAAGTATATCCGCAACCGCCCCAGCGCAAGTTTTGGCTCTCGGCGCGTTGGCACTTCTCATGTTCGGTTTTGACGGCTCCGTGTGCGCAGTTGCAGTGCCAGCAACGCGTGACGAAGATGTGTTCTTTGCACATTTTTGGACTCTTCTTCTGTTGTGTGTGTGTGTGTATGACTTGTGGGCGGGCGAGTGAGTGCGCTTTTCAGTGTCGCGAGCTGTTACCTAAGTTGGTGTGATATTAAGGAAATTCTTTGTTGCAGGGTTTCTTTCTTTCCTACGTGGGTTTTCAAGATGAGGGCTTGTAGGCTTGGAGGCTTGAGGGTTTGGAGGCTGCTTGTTGTTGTTTTCTTTATTGGAAGCTCGTTGGATCATTGTTGTAATCTGGAGGAGTTTCAAAACAGGTATTTATGTAGGTACTCGATTACTGATTCACGATATTCCGAGGGCCTATCCACACGTCCATGTTGAGATATCAAGTGAATCGATCACCTTCACGGCGTTTTCAAAGTTGAATGGATCAACACCACGTACTATCTGGTTGTGTGGGATGACTGGATTGGGTCCATGTGAATTGGCGGCTTGAGAGCGGACACTTAAAGGCTTCCAAGCTCCAAATGGTACAGGCGGAAGACGGAAGGTTCTCTTCCTTTGTTTCGTTCATCACTGTTCGTTCCCGAGTTGCCAATTTTGTGGACGATACCTCTATGCTTTTCACTCACTCTTTTCGTCTAGCATTCACAATAACATGATCCAAGAAGGTTCGCTGCTCATACAATCTCTACAATCTCTACAAGACTACAGGGCCTACCTGGTCCTACCTAGTACCCACTTTTACCTCGGATCACTCACTGCTAATAGATCGATGACCTTCAAGGCCCATTTCAAAGTTTTGGTCCATCATCATATGCTATCTAATGCCCAGGTGAATTTATGAGTCGAAGTGGCCGACTCGAACGTCTTAACTCCAAAATTAAACAGATGAAGACCAAACGAGGTTCATGCTCTCCTCCTTTACGTCCTATCACCATTCCTCTGACTAGACCACAATGCTTTCGCCGATGATGTTATCCTCTATACTCGTTTCGTTGTGTGACATCGACTACACCGTGATTCAAGATCGTTGGTACCTAGAGGTAGTCACTCATTCATCCATGTTCAGGTGTGCAATGGCTGATTCTGCTATGGCTGTGGCTGAGAGCGGGATCACTCCTCTGGTAGAAACATTGCAAGGTGTAATAAAACGGTACAATCAACGGCGAAAGCGGACATATGAGAAAGAAGCCTAAAAACAGCGGTGGTAGCATCTTTAACAGAATTATCTAGCTCCTGTAAAAAAAAATTTGTTCCCATAGTGATCCTCCAAACGAATAGTTCTAGTGGCTTACATATGGGAAAGCGGAAGGGACCCTGCGGTTTCACTAACTATGACCGTACCTTATATGTTTACTAGTTCTTATTTGTGACTCTTATAAAGCTTCTCTGCAAAGTTGTTGAATAGTCAAGTGGAATGTTAACCCGTCGACCAGAATGTCACCGGGTTCAATGGTGATGATAGGAAGGCGAAGCAGGTAGAAAGGATTTTGTTTTGTTTTCCTTTTCCTCGTTCAGGGATAACAAGACCTACTGTTTGCAATCATGGCACGTAGCTTCAATAATGCCTGTCAGTAATTCGATAGTTAAGAGAGCGTCTATCTATACTAAGGCCTTGCACAAAGCAAGGTCTAGATGTTATGTTTGACTTGAACTGGAAAGACTCTCCTCAAAGGCACGAAGTGCAGCGTAGCCATGGTATCCAATGAGAGGAGGTATTTCGGGCCTCACCTCTATGAGCTGTTGTATGTATGTAGTTCCTTTTTGTAATGGTGCGCAACAATACCGAGCTGGGGAAATATGAATGGTACGGTAGTTGCATCCGTGCCAACGGCGCCCCAACCCCAAAGCGTCCCGATCCGACAGTTCGGTCACTCTTCCTCCGGGCCGCATCTCATCTTTTCTTGCGTACATGGCTAACGTCCTTGGCTTGGCACTCACCTTGAAAGTATTGTTTCATGTGAAAGAGCTCAAAGAACAAGAATGTTTGTCGGTAACTGTCAATCCGTGATGTCGGGACGATGAAGCCGTCGTTGGTGGTCTGTGCCTTGGAGTTTTCTGATGTAAGGCGCCATTTCAAATCAGAGATGGAGATACCGGGCCTTTGTGACTGCAAGACGGCCATAAGAAAATGTCTGCTAGCATTGGGCGGTGAATGGATGACGGTTCCGACATAGAGTGTGCGGTGGTTGGTGGTTACCAAGGTTTTGGTGACTGGTGTAGGACTCCCAAATTGCGGGAGCGGTTTGCGATGCTTTACCCGGGCTTTTCCATTGACGTTTGGCAGACCCTTTATTTGTCCAGAGAAGCAAGAAAGCGAATCGTCAACTTAGAGTTCACCTTTAAAGTGATAAGCAAAGAGACAGAGACGGCTCGGCTCCGAGTTCCCGTTGGTGAAGCGCCAGTGTCCGTACAAGACATACCTGCATCCAGCCCAGAGAGTATATCTCAGCTCGAAGTCAACGGTCCATAGTGTCTGCACTATGGTGTCAAAAGAAGGTTGAACGATGCATGCCTTTGCGCCATCTTGATGTGGTCCCTGCCAAGCCGCATCCACATCGATCTTCGTGTCTCATCACCCGTTGGTGAGTGAAGTCTGGAAAACTGTCAACATGACGATTTGCGGGGTTCATGTAACATAACTGAACTTGAAGTAACCGTTGTGTCTCCGTTGGTGTGTGTGCGATTCGCTTAATAGACGAGGCGCCAGGTTGGTGGAGCAAGTCCGTATGGTGATACTGAACAGACAGACTTCCGTATCTGACCGTCTTCAGGAAATTGCAACCAAATCAGGGACGCTCACCGAGTCCAAGATCTGTGTGGACAGTTCCGCACATGCTTAACTCTGGAAAGCTGTTCCGTACTGCCTCTAGGTCTGGGGTGCAGTCATGGAGGGTTGCTGTGACACCTGTCTACAGACGGCGAGGATCCGGATTATCACTTCAGGATAGCTCCTTTGCATACGCATTGGGGACTGCTATTCGTGCGGCAATGACGATAAATGACCATCTCGGGACAGATCCAGGGGGAGGTGTCGAGGTCGGGGATAGTTTCCGCTGTCTCCCCAGTCTCGTGACGCATGCCCCGTCTACCGTTGGATTGTAGGGGTACATGGGGTCCGCACCGAGACTTGCTTCGTCCAAACTCAGTGACCACAAGGAGCTGTCCCGGAGTGGAAGGATAGGCGAGGCATTATGGGATGCATGCCGGACCTGATATTGACCACTATGACAACCCAAGGAGCAGGTGAGAGTGGTCTCGGTATGTAGGCGGCTCAAGTGCTGTCGTAGTGCAGACAGCGTAGCATGCCTGGGTAACTTTAATCGCCGATATGGTATAAGTGAACACTCCCATACACAGGGCATGGAGATGGATCAGTCCAATACAGTGGCATATCAGTGGCAAACCTGTGGGTTCGAATGAAGAGTTGAATGCCGGATGGGTTGTGGGATAAGTTAAGGTTGAGACTGATGCTCATGAAAGATGCCGTACAAGTGCCACGCGTGGGACAAAGATCAGGGACTTGTATCGATGGTGGAATTACTGAAGAAAACCCCTACAAAGTGTCCATGAGCAATGGGCTCTCCCAAGCGGAATGAGACATTCGAGCCAAGTCAGGGCCGGCAGAGACCTGTCTTCGTGGGCTTCGGGTTCGAGACCATGAGCATGCCATGTCAAATTGCTGGGACAGGTGTTTCAGCCGAGATGGTCGTGGCATTGACAAAATCTGAAGAAGACAGAGGACGCGTGGAATCCAGGATCAGGGACGAAGAAGTGAGAAACAACCGTGAAAGTAAAAAGTTAGCGAGATCAGAGGGGGATTGAGGAAAGGGAGTGGAGTGGGGACGAAGCCTGCGACGTGCTATTGACTGGGTCGGCCGTCTCAAATTGGCCTGGTCATTGACGAGCACCTTGCTGGCCAGCGTCATTTCAAACATGAGATAACTCAAGGTAGAACTGGAAGGAATCGTTGACGCTCTTCACCATTTGATGATTCGGGCCTTCCGTTTTGCAGTTGTCAATATAAAGAGTCTGTGTAATGTGAGTTACGAGTTGCGAGTTGGAGGAAGGAGAGACTTGGCTGCGATGTGCGGTTGCAGTGGTCGCAATCACACTGTACCAAACACTGTATACTTCTGCAGTTGTGTTCTGAATGGGATAAACGCACTCCCGGAGGTCTTTCCCCAGCACCAACTGCCCCGGTCTCCCCTTTTCCCCTCATTCCTTCCCCCGCAAAGACCCCATGTTGATCCTGGACTTCCAGGCTGTTAGCGGTCAGTGGACTCAAGTGATGGGCCGACATGGCTCACACGAGAGAGCATGGATGCCTTCAGGTTTTCTGTTTCTTCACTTACCGACCACATTTCTTTGGAGGCTTTGAGCCGCTGGTTCTGCCTGTCATTGCGTCTTAGTTCCAATGAAAGTCAATACAACCCAACGACTGTTACTCCCGTGGTCGGTGATGTGATGAAGGATGGCTTCCTGCGACTTGCCTCTCCGAGTTAAGACGGCCGGCTAGTGTCGTCGTCTTTGCTCACAGACTGAGGCAATCGGTGATCTTCCCTCCAGAGTCCCTAGTTCGCCTCGAGATGCATCCAGCTCCCCCGCGCTAACCTACCGAATTCGACCCGTGTGCCGAACGACACACCTGCCCTAGTATCTTACCCAACATCACTTCCAGGAGTCCCAGCATCTCACGCGGCACTACCAGTACCGCTGCTGCGGGGCTACTCCGGGCCATCACCAAGGTGGTAGTGACGGTAATGTAGGGGTAGGGTTTGTGCTCACCTCACATTTACTCGACCACTTTTACTCTTCTTGGCCATGTCCCCTGTCTTGAAACGTCTCGCTATTCGCTCCCTACTCAACTCCATGAACTTGCTTGCGAATGTTGCTCGAAACCTTCTTTTTCACCTCTTGTCATGATCCTGAAGTCTGGTTGATCATGTCTTGTCATCCTTCGACGCCGACATCTACTACTATCCGCGCCTCTATCCCCTCCATGTCCGGTGTATGGTCAGTGAGACGCAGACTCGAGCTATAGGAAAATCATCCACGTTGTCACCCTTGGCCGAAGTCGCCCTCAACTCAGGCCCAAACATTACATCACCTCCTTCCATTGGCCTCTTCCCGACTTATACGAGACTTCATGCCCAGCGGTGCTCCGACGAAAATGCGACATCAGAGACGGCGATAACAAGACTCTGAGGCTTCCACTACCACCTTCACCATCCTCGTCATCATCCACCAAGTCCGTCATGAGCGTTCAGGCCTATGACGCCGGGGCCGTCACCACTTTTCCTAGATCTCATCCAGGAGCCATGTCTCTTCCTCGTTCCCAGGTTGGCATTGAGCGGTTGCCTGCCCGCCGACTCAGTAATGAGCCACGTGAATCCATGAACTGCAAGTCATGTCGGAAACGTAAGGTAACTACGCAACCTCCACACGTACTGAGCAGTTTGGGAACACAATCAAAGCTAACCGGGCCGCGTTTCACAGATCAAATGCAACCGCCTTCGACCTGCCTGTGAAGCCTGTCAAATCTTCCAATGTCCATGCATCTATGGTGCGTTGTCATACCCAAAAACCTGCCCCACCCGCGGCTCCTGAAGGTCATCAGACCTGAAAGGCCGAGCAAGAATTCTGACAGGTAATTTCATCATAGATGCCGTACCGAAGAAAAGGGGCCCAAAGACCGATGTCTTGGAGGCATTACTGAAGCGAGTGGATGGCTTGGAAGCAAAACTGAAGGAAAAGGGGGAGCCAGAAACGCCAATGGTCGAAGACACACTCAACATCGTAGCCGATTCTTCATCTTCCACAACGTCAACGAGCACCAGCACGAACCAGAGGGAACAGTTCTCAAAGGATGATCCGCTAGATACCCCCCGTCCGCACGATTCTAGAGAGTTTCAACAGCCTTTTACTCTGTGAGTATAGTGCAGGGCTTACAGCGAGTGTCAATGGCTACTAACAAACAGGACAAGGCCACAGAATGTCGAGCAGCAATCGATATCAATGCCAGAAGTCCAGCCTACTGCTTTGTTTGACACATACTTCACCCGCTTTCACGCAAAACCTTTTCACGTACTTGACGAATCAACATTTCGCCAACGTCTTCAACTACACCAAGTCCCCAGCTACTTGCTGCATGCTGTCTGTGCTGTAGCCGCAAGGTATACACCTCATCCAAAGGGGTACCAATCCGCGATCAAGCTCAGCGAAGACTACGCCGCTCGTTCCAGGTCAGAATTGGATACGGATGAACCGAGTGTTGATGCTTTGCAGGCATTGTTACTATTGGTAACAGCCTTTACCGCCGCAGGGAAGGGGAAAAAGGCATATATGCTTCTGAGTATGCTTCCAAATTGACCACGTATGCCCTTCCCAAAAGCTAACTTGTATCAGCAAACGCTGTAGGAATGGCCATGGCTCTAGAACTCCACCGTGAAATGGATGTCAATGCCCGAGTTACCCCAATCGAACGAGAAACGCGAAGACGCCTGTTTTGGAGTTGCTACCTACTTGACAGGTTCATGGTCTCCGGTTCAAAGAGGCCATCCCTGGTTACGGACAAAACTATTTTGTTGAGGCTCCCAAGTTGGTCCCCCAACCCAGCAGCATTGCCCGTTGAAGGGGACTTCTTCCAGAGTGGCTCAAATCTGCAATACTTCCATGGGAGTGGGAAGCGGTCGCAAGGAAGCAATGGATTGCTTATCGACGTTGCCCGAATCCTCGGTACTACGAACCAATATCTGGCGTCTGGAGGGGCCAAAGGCGATTCGCACTTTCCATGGCACTCGCTCTCCAACCTGTCAAAGATCCGGCAGGACCTCGATGTATGGGCATCTGGGACAGAAGATGCCTTTTCCAGCCTGCATTCCCTGTTCGGTCATACGGACTCAACCGTGCTTGTGTTGAGCAAGCTCATTTACCATCTTGTTCATTGTCTGATTTACCGACCTTTCCTTCCGATTGACCTATCCGAACTGGCTGGGTCAGGACAACATCAATCTTGGCAGATCGAAGCCACCAACATGTGTTTCCTACACGCCAACGCCATCGCGGAACTCGTGGAACTCGGAAAACAAATGGCGTCCATCGAATGGCCAGCATTTGTAGGCTACTGTATATGTACGGCTGGAACTGTACATGTACATGGCGCCCACTACAGCAGACATGGGATTACGGGAGAAATGAACGTATTCAGCTCCTCGCCCGAGTTTTTATCCCGAGAAATGCAACAACTGAGCGAGCTGCGGTACTCGTGGGCCAGTGTACAGCATCAGCGCGAAACACTACAGAGCATATACGATGCTCACTCGGAACTCGTGAAGAGCGTTGCTAACAACTCGATACGATACTCGCCAGTCTTTCACCTGGAAGATTTCTTTGATCGATATGCCAACATTGGTGGACCAGGAGGACAGTCGTTTAGTTTCGATGCAGCCAACTTGAGTCTGGCCGATGTAATAGTGGACTTCACGACCGATACATATCCTGGACACGATTTGTATGCGCCTCGACTCACTGGTCCTAGCAGTGGTAACGGCTCATCACTCAGCAGGCCGAACCTCAAAAGGAAGAACACTGCTCCATCAGGAAGGAAACGACCCGACATCAAGAGTCTATTATCCATCACCGGGAATGGGAACTTCGGTACCGGCCTCCCTACACCATCACATCCACACACCGCAACATTCCCCATGTCCTCGTTAGGCGGCCTTCAACCATCACCCGGGATACCTCAGACCTCATCATTAGCACAACAACATGACCTCCAACATGAACGAGCGCAATTCCACTCGATGCTAGGCTCCCTAACTGACACCAACATCGGGTCCTCAAACACCAACAACTTCTCCTCTCTCACCTCAAACCACAACAACAACACAAACAACCACCAACCACGCTCCCACTCCATAGCTCTAGGCCAAGGCCAAGGCATATCCTCCCTCTCCAACCTCGCCCCATCAGGCTTCAGTCCCCAACTAAATTTCACCAACCTCCAACAACGTCCATCTACTCCCGGCCCTAGCACCACCCATCATCACCATTTCGACCCCATGTTCGGCGACCTACCCACCAATGCCTTTTCCAGCCCAGCGCCTTGGAATCCAGACGACAACAACACTCCCGGACCTCATAACCGAAACCCAGTCGGTGGTGGTATCGGTGATACAAAGGGTGATGAAAATAACAAGCCAACGCCAAGTGATATCGGAAGCACAGGTACAGAGGAAAAGGATCCCTTTTTGAGTCTGCTGGAACAGTTGGCGGAGAATGAATCGTTAATGGGAGGAGGAGGGGGGTTGGGGAGTGAGTTGGATGGGCTGGATTTCTTTCTTGGAACGGTGGGGATGGGAGGGTTGGCGTCTGGGTCTGGCTCGGGGGGTGGGGTTAGTGCGGGAAGTGGAAGTGGAAGTGGAGGAGGTGGTGGTGGTGGTGGCGGTGGATGAAGGAAATTTCGACAAAGGAAAGGAAGGCTTGGAGAGGGAGTTGTACTTTGTTTTTGAAGCGAATGATACCATGTGCTTTCTGTTGGGAAGAAAATAGCGTGTTGGTGTATGTGATTATTGAGAAACGTTGCGGAAATTGGTGTTGGGTAGGAGTGATGACGCTGGCTTTTCTCTCAGAGGGTGCCAGGTGTGTATCCGCTACAATGCCATATATGTTTATTTCTCAACCCCTAGGAACGAAATCAAGCAATCGGTAGGCCTGGCATGAACCTTTCTACTTCCAATCTACGGATGCGGGACTGACCTTTGCCGCTCACAGGTTCGCCTGCGCACACGACCTCGGAATCAATCACTTCTCGATCACTGAAAGCACATCACCGGCATTTGGGACCAGCTGTAGATACTAATAACTACATTACTCTAAATTTTCTGCCACATGGTTGGATATTGATCCATCTAAACCCTGCGTTCCTTTCGGTTTACTCTTTTTTGAGTTTTTGTCCCTTTCTAGGCTGCTTCACAGCTGGCACGCCAGATTGCCATCCTCTCATATCGCCCGTATTATGACTCTCGAGAAGTAAAAAAGTAAAAAGAAACAAATCACATCTCGAAATACCCCCATCAATTATTGTATATTTCTCCTCCACCTCTTGTTAACGGTACGGCAGGCGGAGACTCCATAGTTGTGTTGAAAGCCGCGGGCAAGAGACTTGTTGACTGAAAGGGACGAAATCGGCAAAAAACCAAGGCTTGCCGTTAGGAAACCAAAAAGCTGAAGGAAGTTGGGGTGTCTCATGTTATTGTCCCTGTAAGGAAGGGAATTGCAATGAATGATGGTTATAGGAGCACTAGGAGCACTGTGATGGACTCTAGAGGACTTGGGAACTCTCAGATTGATGATTTCATTATCGGGGTCTGGAAGGGTGGCGATGGTGCGGTCATAGTTTGGAAACTTGAGGACAAGAAGAAATATCACAGCGGGAGAAACCCGAGATGGCGCGCTTCTTGCCCCGTACGATGAAGTGGGCTAGCGTCACAAAGTCGGCAACGAATAGTGTATAGAGCTTTGGCAGCATACTCTTGAGCTACCAAATCTCAATGTGGCTACGTCCGAGGATGGTACATGCCCGTAAAGCTACCAGAGCTGGATAGCACCTGACCAGAAGCGAATCTCGATCCAGCCAAGCCGCGGTTGACAGGCCTGGGATCGAGAGCCGGCGGCTGGGCCTCAACAATAGGAGGCTTCGACTGGACATGGACGGCCGGCGAGTCAGTACTACTGGTGCTTTCTGATGTCGAACTGCGAGCAAATCTGAACCCGGCTAAACTAAGGTTGACGGGGTAGCTGGCAAGAGTGACTTGTTCGGGTTGAGGAGGAGCCTGTACAAAGGAACTCTGTGGCACCGGACTAATCGCAAATCTAAAGCCAGCCAGGCCACGGTTGGCATGGCTGCTAGAGCTAACCAGCGACTCTACTTGAGAAGGCGGTACGCTGATAGAGCTCGCCTGCTGAATAGTCGCGTCGTCAACACGCTGTGTTGCACGAGGTGTCTGCTCCTGGGGAGTCAGTCCTCTAATGCTTGAAGTTTCGTTGACGGGAGTAGCGGGCTGGTGATCAGGCACTGGAGTAGGTCCATCGTTCTGCTGAGCAACTTCAAGGCGAGGAGTGACATGTTCAACATTCTGCCCTGAAGGCCTAGCAGAAAACATTTCAGCTAACTCGGCCGGAGTAGCCTGGACTTGGGCCAGCGGCTCAAGTTGTGCAAGCTCTCGAAGGGCGGTTCTAGACCAGAATTGAGGGCCTGTAAAGGCTCCTTCAGTCTCAAGGCGATCATCGGGTCTAGCCCACCGTGAGCCTCGGAGGCCACGAAGATTGTTGTTGGTTGACGAAGGCCTGATTGGCTCCGGGACGGCCAAAGAGATAAGCTCGGGTACACTGTGAATGTCTTCATCTACGTGCTCTTCATGGGATGGATTCCCAGTTGTCTCAAGGGAAACTACTGGTGTAAGCTCTTTGATCTGTGGCTCTTGGGCCTCTTCTTTCGCTTCTTGAACCATTGACTCGGAAATACTGGTGGGCGTAGACCTTACGGTGTTCGAAGCCTCTGTTGCCATCACCCAGGCATGGCTGGCTCGGGTCCTGGAGAAATCAAGAGGCGCGGAGGCAGCCGCTGGGAGAGGAGTGGGAGTAAAAGGCGTCGCGGCCGAAAGCGTAGCTTCCAAGCTCTGACAAGTCGAAGGAGGCTGGTTCCTCCTGGAACACTCGGGCATAAAGGCCAGCTCCCTTAGCCAGTGGGAGGCTGCAAACGGTTACCATAGAGCGACACCAAAAATGGACGTTGGTACACTCGACGGCGTGTCTGGGTAGTCACTCTACGGGGAGGTGCCCGAGCAGTCTCCCGGGGAGTGGTTCTTGCGGTTGTAGTTGGAGGTGCCCTGGCATTCTCACTAGGGGTTGTGCTTGCAGTTGAAGGGGGAGGTCTGGGAGTTTCCGGGAGGTTTGTTGGAGGACCGGAGGCCGATTGGATGTCGTTGGTAGAATTATCGGCATCTACGGACTCAGAGTCGCCAAAAATCTCCCTCAGAAGCTCTCTTTTGGTCGTGTCATCGAGACCGCATTGATCAGCCATTGCATTCTCCGTCACGCAGGTCTCGAGTCCTTCAATCATCGTAGAAGCACCGCGATTTGTCTGATTTTTGGGCTGTTCACCCAATACTTTGATCAGGTTCTGCAACAGTTCGCGGTATCTGTCGACAAATTCCTGCTTGACAACCTCAATCCCATAGTTCTGTTCCGCCGCTTCAGCTTGTGCTTGCTGGAACTCAAGGTGATTGTCGACATTCTCAAGCTCGTAGTCGACCGGATCGAGGGTGGAGAGTAGTTCCGCAGCTTCGGACTGAGCATAGTCTGGCTGGACCGTCGATGTATCATCATCGTAAGTGTCGAAGTCAATAAGCGTACCGACTAGTACCTCTTGGTTGCCTGCTTGGGCTGTGTTGGGATTTGGTGTATATGGTTGGCTTACGACAATGTCCGAGTCTGATGTAGATGCATGTCCTGCTTGAGCTCCAGACACGGGGTTCTGAGGAGCAGGTGTAGGGGATGCCTCCACGGTGGCATGAGTTGCCTCTTGGGCGGTGTGCTCTAACACCTGCCTAGAGCTTTGGTTGACCTGTTCCAGATATTCTCCAGCCTGAAGACGCTTGAGTGTCTTGTGAAAGTCCTCCGCGTCCATATAGGACGTGAAATTGACTTTACGACTGTCTCTGGTCACACCATCTTGGGCCCTGAAAATAACTATCAGCTGCCGGGTGGAGTCAATGGAGTGGTAGTGATAGCTCGCAATAGGCCATTGGCCATCGAGGTCGCCATCGCGAGTCAATGTGAAGAATCCCAAATGTGGTCTTTCGGCCGCGGAGAGGTAGATTATGCCCCTGGGGGGCACAGACGAGCGGTCAGGTGCCCGGGGCGGAATGGGAAAGTTAACTTCACAGCTGAAGACAACATTGAACAGCTCTGGTGAAGAAAGAGGAGATTCGGTCACTGGAAGGGGAGCAAGATCCACATTCTGGAGCTGCTGTCTTGCCGAGTCTTGGACGGTAGGCGCCGACGATTGCCGGATGCTGCTCGCGGAGTTTTGACGTGAAGCTTTCGGGGCAACAGTTGAGCGATGTTGTGTTGGAGCCTGTTGTGTTTGACTCTGGACGACGGATAGCAAACGGGCCTGAATTGAAGAAGCCCGAGAAGTCTCGGTGCGAGGCGCAGTGGAAGTTGCACCAGATGCAACTCCATTTCGGGAAGACGGAAGCCCTTGCTTGGGAGGAACCAGTTGACGGGGCGCTGTAGAAGATGATGGACGGGGAGGTCTGCTTGGAGGAAGAGTCTGCACTGGTACTTGTGTTTTTGGCCTCGTGGTGGATGGTTGGTAGCCCGGAGGGAATTGCCTGACCGGCTGGGCTTCATGATAAAGAACTCCGAGAGCGGATGTCTTCATGCCTTTGCCAATGTTGATTTTTCGGTTTGGAGGTATCTCACGTCCGCGACCATGGTATTGTTTAGCAAGGCGACTTTCAAGCTCGGGGTTCAACACTCTTTGAGCACTGTCATGCTAGGGTTAGTGAAAGTTGCGACGCGGAACACACGGAGAATGGATACATACTGGTCTCTGATGCCATGAATGAGGCGGTTACCTAAGGCCGCGACTTCCTGCTGACGGGTGGCATAGAGTCTTCCGCCTCCAAGGGGATCAAGATCCTTGACAGCAAGAGCGTCGTCATCGTTGAACACGCCCTGACGTTGGGCCTCTGCCCAGAAATCCGACACGGCGGGAGCGGGTTGAGGCATCGTAAGACGGTCAGGTCTCCGGCCATCATGACGATCATGACGACCATGACGAGGAGGGCCGTCAGCATCCTCCAACGGCAGGTCCTCGACACGAGAAGTGCCGAGATCATCCATCATGGCCTTTTCTAGGATGGCTCTCCTCTGTCGCGCTGCTTCGTCCTCGACCGACTGGCCATTTTTGTCGCGATCCTGCATGTTGAAGACGTGACTACGGCCGCTTGGATTGGATGTCGCAGTGCTGGTTATCAGTCGTTAGCAACGCAGAAATGTAAGCGCTCCTGTGATGATTGATACGCACCAAGTCTTGTGCGTGATCTTTGGACGCGTCCGGCCTTGGAAGTGTGGAGGATTGTATGCTCTCGAGATGCTATCCGAGGGGAAGTATTTGATGGCAAGTTTGATAGATCCGCAGAGAATTTGCCAGTTTTTTGGTACTGGTTTTGTGGGATGAGGTCAAGGCGCAGGTGGAAGGAGAAAGAAGAAGCGTGGCCAGATGCTTCTGGCAACTTCAAGTCCATTCACGAGACTAAGAGGAACGAAACCTCAGGTGACGAGAGGGTAGAAAGGACGGGAAGGCAGTGGATTGAGCGGGTCCAGATACATCGTACCTTCCGCTTTTTGGATGTGTTTGCTCGAATAAATGGGAGATGATAAAGTACTCACTGCGCAAGAGCGAGGTACCTCTGACACCGCCTTGGCGGGTAGTACTTATCGTGGCAGGAGTTACGCAGCTGAAGGGAGATTTCCAGGTTCCCACCCAGCGGCAGCGGGAAGGCCACGATAGGTAGTTGGCGGGGCAATAGCATTCAGATCGGGACGGAGCAGAGGTGGAAGTTGATATTTGTTCGAGGAGAAATGGCGAACGCGCTGCACCGGGAGCGGGGTGCCAAAGGAAATTGTTCGTTTTTCTCAACTCCGTTCGGAGGGCAGGAATGATCAGGACTCCCCGTTAAAAGAAAGTCCAGGTCTTGCAAGGTGCTGTCAAGCAGGTGCAATGAAAATGCTTATGGACAAGTGGAAGGCAAGGAGCATGAGGATTTCCTTGTCTTTATCTCACCTTCTCCGAGCTGTAGGGCGGTTTTTGTTCAAGTTGTGCGACAATTGCTCGGTGCCAGCGGCGGGGAATATCACAAAGCTAGATGCGTTCTATGGCAATGAGAAGCGTTTTTCATTATTCAGTCGCAATGAATCGTAGAAAGTGGCTCACCGCACGGTTTGCTCACCGGTCCTTGATTCCTGTTTGCCGTATTTGACAACATAGGATGAAAGTCGAAAAAATGAATGAGGTATCCAACAAGGCCAGAGCGACTGGAGACTATATATGCCAAAGAAGATTACATCACATATAAGGGACCTTAAACAGAGCACACTCCAAGCTATTGAGCTAATGCTCGTAATTGTCGGGCTGACATGACAATGTAACAAGAAAGTTAAGCTGTTCAGGTATTTTTGTGAGATTCGTTTCTACTCTGAGTGAAATATGTTCCAACCAGCCTCGAATGCCCACAAAGTATCTTGAAATGGCGATATATTCGTCATACACAATGTGATTGAGATGCAACTTTCCAGAACGATGGTACAAGTAGATCTTCATATTGAGCCGCGCTTTGAACTGGATGGAATAGCTGCTGTATGAGTTCACCGGAGCTTTTGACTAATACAGGTTCGAAAGACTGTATTGGACCAGCATAACACTCTCAAGCCTCTTACACAGATTTTTCGGATTCCTTCATTCCGTTGTTTTGTGAAGGTCAACCAACAAGCAACAAACATGAGAACAAGGACTAAAACTCGGATTATCAAAGTATAAAGAAGGACAGCCTAGTCCTAATGACAAACATGATCAACAAGGTTGGCAAGCTGCAGAGAAAAGGAACATACGGCAGTGTAGCATTACCAGTTTATGACCTGAGCATGCAATGAAGACATCATGGTATAAGAATGGAGACGGGTTACCGCCGTTACCCAAAAAGTCGATATACCCAAAAGATACACGACGGTGATGACAGACACTGTGATAGCCGTTCGGAAGAATACCATGAGAACGAGGTGGGCAAAACGGTATATCTGAGGAGCCGCACGTGTAATTGAACAAGTAAAAGCACTCAAACGACATTCTGGAGTCTTAATATATCTCAGCAAAATTATTATCACAAATGCCAAACAAAATCCCATAGAACAGTAAACGAGTGACGTTGTCGATGACTTACACACAAAGGAGGACTTGATGAATTCAGGGGTAAAGCCAGCGGCGTGCACATCAGGGTAAGGGTTAAACATGGAAAACATGCCCCCCACCAAGCCATGCAGCCATGCTCGAGCTAATTCCGGCTTCCCGTAACAGACCCCTGCCAGGAACGCAGGGATCTGCCAAACGCCAAGCCACGGCGGATTCGTAGCTCGCGGGGGACCAACGTCCACTTGTCCTCATCAAATGGAATTGGAATGTCCGAATGGCACGGCATGCAAGGGCAACCAACCTCAAGGTCCAGTGTCTTTCAGCCTGCACCCCGTTTCTAGAACTTCTTTTGTTTTCTTTGGTGTTGGTAGTGTAGTTTGAATCTTCATCATCTTCTTTGGCAGCGTAAAGCGGACTTCCGGTTGTGTCTTTCCACATCAACCGAACCTCGCGAACCGGATAACGAATTAGCTTGGGCGCATTCGCAATTTCCCCCCGAGGACGACAAGAGCTACCTACTGCGTAGCCTCTGTCCTTCCGGAATAACCCACCATCTCTCGACGACAATCGCCCGACGATAAAATACCAATGCGGTAGCTGAAACTCACGGACTTGCTGTGGATTGGGATCGAAAGAAACGCGCACCGGAAAGACACTCGTTGCTGTCACCAACCGACGGATTAGTGGCAGAGGAAGAAGGGGGAACGACGACACCGGGACGGATTGCTAAATCGCATCCAACCTCTCGACCACAACGAACCATACCTGGCGCACACCCGATCACGATACCTTTAAAAAATGAACGGCTACAACGACGAGAAGCGTCAACTAGACGACGACGCCTTTGGTGCCAAGGGGAGCATAGTCAGCGCTTTTGACGCTTTCCGTACGTCTTTCTCTTTATCCCATCTCTCCAGCACCCTCCCTACATCTTCCCATCCAAGCTAACATAAAGTCCTACTACTACACAGCCAAATCAAAACCCCAATACGTAACCCGCACCACCGCCGGCGGCAAATGGACCGTCTTCGTGACCCTAATCTCCTTCATCCTCTTCTGGTCCGAAGCCAGTCGGTGGTGGCGCGGCACAGAATCACACACCTTCGCCGTCGAAAAGGGCGTGTCGCACAGTCTCGACATCAACCTCGACATCGTCGTGAAAATGAAATGCCAAGACATCCACATCAACGTGCAAGACGCGGCGGGCGACCGGATCCTGGCCGCCTCGAAGCTGCACCGCGACCCGACGGTGTGGCAGCACTGGGTCGACAACAAGGGCATCCACAAGCTGGGAAGGGATGCGCAGGGGAAGGTGGTTACGGGGGAGGATTACTTGCAAGGTCATGATGAGGGGTTCGGGGAGGAACATGTGCATGATATTGTTGCGCTCGGGAGAAAGAGGGCCAAGTGGGCGCGGACGCCCAGGCTGTGGGGCGCGACGCCGGATAGTTGTAGGGTTTTTGGCAGCTTGGAGCTGAATAAGGTCCAGGGAGACTTTCATATTACGGCCAAGGGGCATGGGTATATGGAGTTTGGACAGCATTTGGATCATTCTGGTTTGTTTACCTTCTTCTCTTCCCCTTCCTCGCTCCCTTCTTTACGTACCAAACACTAACAAGACTTCCAGCATTCAACTTCTCCCACATAATCTCCGAGCTCTCCTACGGCCCCTTCCTCCCTTCGCTCGTCAACCCGCTCGACCAAACCGTCAACCTAGCCACCTCCAACTTCCACAAGTTCCAATACTTCATCTCGGTCGTGCCCACCGTCTACTCCGTCTCGGGCGGCCGGTCCATCGTCACGAACCAGTACGCCGTCACCGAGCAGTCACAGGAGGTCACGGAGCGCATCATCCCGGGCATCTTTGTCAAGTACGACATTGAGCCGATTTTGCTCAACATTGTGGAAGAAAGGGATAGCTTTTTGCTGTTCTTGATCAAGGTGGTCAATGTCATTAGCGGCGCGCTGGTGGCGGGCCATTGGGGGTATCGGATTAGTGATTGGTGTCAGGAGGTGTGGGGGAAGAGGAGGAGGAGGGCGGGAGGGCCGAGCGAGGGTATGCTTGGTGGGAAGGGGCAGGAGCGCGACGATTAGGTGGGTGAGATGTGATGGTAACTAGAGGCTGTAGAAGAATGGTTTCTTTTTTTGTGTTTTGTTCGATATCAGCAGCTGGGTGTGTAAAGAACCGTGGTCAGACGTTGAGATAGAGTAGAGTTCGGAAGATCTACAGTTTCAGGTTCTCACAGTGCTGGTAGTATTCACAACGTGTACAATCCATTGTTTCGTCTCGTGTCTATCCTATTAGTTCCTGCGGTTGTTAGTATAGCAGTGAGACGTCGAGATACAGTTCGGGAGATTTACAGGTTTTTCAAGGTTCTACGAACCTTAGCCAGAACCACTCAGTCCCAATTAGTATTGTCTATCCATCACTATCACCCTGCAAGAGCTCAAGTCAGAGACAGTGATAGCACATGGCATATCAAAAGAGTTTGAGCATCTAAAAAAAACTGATAAAACTGTGCTATGAGTAACGGATCTCGTTTACGTTCTAGCTACAGAATGTCTCAAGGGATACTGAAAATTTAACTGGTTGGATCTGTTTAATTCAACTGTTCTATCCTATGCTATCCCATGCTACCATTATTGTCCAAAACGCAATTACCATTCTTGGTTTCGTCCGTATATGATGATCTATGCTAGTGTATATACGCTGATTCATGATATGCTAGTGTTGTTGATGCTCGGTCGTTGCTCCCCTTAGTCGTGAACCCATAACCATTATTCATTAATTTCGTTGACAAATCGTTGACAGTAAAAAGGAAAGAAAATGAGCCTGATATGTGGAATGTGCGGACGGTCTCGATGTCCACCAGCCTCTTGCGAACAACGCAGGGCATTTGACCCGCTGTATCCAACTTATCGTTGATGCTTCTGTGCATCGATGGAGTCGGAGGAAAGTGGAAACCGTATTCACACAGCAATAGAAGTAGAAGTCTTATGCCCCCCATGAGCATGGCCATGGCCATGATGACTCTCACTCCTACTCCCACTGCTCTTCCTCCTCCTCCCCGATAAATGCAGCCTATTCAATTTCCCCCCAGGTGAAGACTCCCTATCACTACTACTGCCCTTCGCCATAGGGGATCCACTCCTCTTGTCAGAAGAAGAAGACGACGAGGACGAAGAGAATGATCGTCTATGTCCCCAGCTCGAAGACCGCTTATGATGTCCCTGGTTATCATCCGTTCTCTCGCCAATGGTGATTTTGGGGATCATGATCGGGATGGCGAAGGCGGGGATTTTGGGTGATGGCTGTCTTTTAGCGGTTGCTGTTGCTGGCTTGGTCGGCATAAGGGGCGGGCTAGCTGGTGGTGAGGGAACGCCGTGTTTCCCGTGGGCGTGGGCGTGGGTGTGGTGGCGCTTGGAAGAAACGGCTGGGCGGAGTCGGGGGCTGGACCAGTTTTGGTTTTCGGAGGTGGGCTGGTCGGGGGAAAGTAGGTTTGAGGGTGGAGTGCCGTCCGTGGAATCTTCTTGGATGGTGGTTTGTTGGTCTTCTTCGGACAAGAGTAAAGCGGTCGACTGCCTTGGTGGTGTTGGCGGCATGGTAGGCGTGTGTTCCTCTTCGGGTTCCTGGTACGCGTCGGTAGTCATGGTGGTTTCCAGAGGCTCGTTATCGCTATCATTGGCGCTTTCGCTGTCGCTGTCGCTGTCACTTTCGCTCTCTTCCTCTTCCTCTTCATCATCAATGGCAAACTCCTCCGCAATTGGTGACAAGATGATTCCCCTCGGTGTCCTGATCTCGAGCAGTGTCGTGACTTCCTGGTGACTCTGTTCAGATCCGCGCTCAGCCAACGGCCAATCACCGGCGTCTGCTGCTTCAATCTTGATGTCAATGTGTACTGGCCCTGTCTTGTAATTCTCCTGCTGCGCTTCCAGCTCTTCTTCCAAACTGAAGTCGTCAGACGGGAACCCTGTGTCGGGCTCGGGCGCAGGCAATGCCAGGTTGAGGCTTGAAGACCTATATGAGGCCGGAGATGCATCCCTTTTCGCTCTCCGCGGGCTATCAGATTCCGGCTTCTCGTCATCCACGTATATCTCCTCTAGCTTGTCATTTGTATCCGCTGATTCCAGGCTGGATGGTGTAGTGTTGCCATCTTTGCTGATAAGATCCGGATCAGGCGGACTGGAGGGCTCGGCGCGATACTGCTCGGCTTCTTGCTCTGCTCGTTGCCGCGCCTCCTCTCGTTCTCTAGCCTCCTCTTCCTCGGTTCTCTGCCAGTACCGCCCCATTGCTGCTTGGTTCGCCCGATGTCTTCGCTGTTTTGTCGGGCTGGTGAGGTTCTTCTTGAGGGAGTTTTCGTCGTCGAAGCGGGAAATGTAGGTGATTGTGCTCTTGCTCCTGCGCCTTACCGGGAGGAACCGTCGTCCGGGTCCGACTTCAACTCTGTGCACCGTTGCCGTGGCGAAGCGAACGGTGGCGCCGGTTCCATGCTTTTCAGGCCTGCAGATTGAGGACTGTGATGAAGATAATGACCCGGTGACGGAAGTTACGCTGGATTCCGGTAAAGGCACGAGACAGGCGTGGTCTGCTGTGGGCTTCCTGGGGTCAAACTCTGGGAGCGTGGTCGAAAAGCAAGGGATCTTGCGTGGTGGTGGTTTCCGTCCATCTGGACTGGCGACTCGGAGGATTGACTTGGGCTTTGGCGGGGGAGGCAACGGAAGTTGTTGGGTTGGACTATGGCCGTGTTAATGATACAAGGTCCACTGATATAGGTGAGGCCGTGAGTGAGCTTACCCTTGGGACCCCTCCTTGCTAGCTTTTTCTTCGGAATAATCCCCGTTAGAAGCTTTCTCTTTGGCTTCTGCTGTGCCCTGGTCTGAGATGGTTGATGCGGATGCAGTGGTCTTGTTGACGGCGTCTGTTGATGCGGCCTTGGTGGTCGTCCTGGAAGAAGATTCCGATGCCTTATGGTCCAGCGTCCAGGAAGGGGTCTTTTTAAGCTTGGTCTTGTTGAGACTGTCTTCGTCGACGGCGCCAGCACCGGGGACTGATATAGAGAATCTCCGTAAAGCCATTGAGCGTCTACGTGCCTTCTTTTTGTCATCAGGACTGGAGCTGTGCCTGCGACCTCTTGACAGGCCATGGTGAGATGGTGATGGTGGTGATGAGTCGGAAGAGGAAGATGTTGTGGATGTCTTGGTAGGGCTGGATCTTGGCTGTAACCCTGCCCACGAGAGAACGGATGTCAAAGAGTCCCTTCTATGCGGCTGACGATGCCTGCTTGACTCTCTTGGTTCTTTGGACATGGTGACTGATGGTTCCTTTTTCTGCCTTTTTGTCTGACCGATAAGAGAACCGTTGGTTTAGGTAAGGTAGGATACAAAAGTAAGGGTGCCGGCTAAAGCGCTATGTGCCAACGAGTATATATCGTAAGGTGACCGCAAATCCAATCACCTGAGCGGTCCCTGAATGGACTAAAGAATCCTGCAAAAAGGAGAGGTTCTGATGGATTTGATGAGAAGTGGCCTCGGGCAGGTTTAGGTATCGCGATGAGCCATTGGGATGGCGGGGAAGCCAATCACAGATAATACAACCATGCAGCCCAGCTTTCTTGCGCTGGCTGTAGGTATGCCATTTGGCATCACTCGATGAGGATGACATAGTGTTGGTTGGTACGGTAGTCAGAAACTCACATTACCCGCAACCGGTACCATGGTCATGGCGGTACATACCAGAATAAGATAACCGGGTGAGGCGCCCGGAGAAGCGGTTTGGTAAGAGGAAAAAGCAATATGGACCGAGTGTGTAAATACTTGAGGCTGGCGTGCCCCTGAATTGGTCTCGATTATCATGGGCATCCCAGCCTTTTTCGTGCCAACAACCCCCTCCAGAACACCATGTGGTTGTCCATTCTCTCTGTTGTCTTTTCCTCACAACCAATGGACAGGCGATGAGCGCGTACCCGATGGATCTCTCTCTGTTCCTGTGTTTCCGAGTGATGGGTAAGGGCGCCAGTTGGCAGCGGTTCATGCGACAAGCTAGCACTAGCAGAGCTGTAGCAAGCAGATCCAAGCAAATCCAGACAAATCCAACACTTGTTCTTGTGCGACACGATGGAGCCAGGAGTTGGCGCTGGGCTGTAGATTGTCTCATTGGCGGTGGTCGCAACAGCAGGTCAAGACACTCATTGGCGCGGACGGCAGCAGCTAAGCAACCGAAGGCGGAGTGAGCGGAGCGCAGCGATTTGGTACACGTGTTGAACGCATTCTCGTAGAGGCCGTGGACATGACGGAAGCAAACAGGAACTAAGGGGTCGGCTGAGGTGAGAGGATGGGAGTGGTTCTCCAAGAGAAACATGAAACCCGACTTTTCTGTGTTTCGGTGAGATGGTTGAAACACGGAAGCTGTGATCAGTTGTGACCAGAAAGCTGTTACATACTCATGTCAGATCGCTTCCAGAGCCTTTTTAAAAATGTCCGATCCCAGGTGGATGGTACTTGGGTGTTGGCCGATTTCTGCCGTACCACTGACCACAAGTAAGGCAACAAGGCAGCAGAAGTGGTAGTAAACGGAATGGCGGAATAAGCTGACGGAGGTTGGCCGACCCGGGTGCGGCGTCATTTTGCGCCCAAGCTGAAGGGAGGAGGTCGAAATTATAGAAGAGCGGGCGAACAGCAAGGTCAACCCCGTTTGGCCCCACCACCCCGCGCTCCGCCGTGGAATCTGCCGTGTCAGCCCCGGTGCTCTCCAATGTTTTGGCTGCTGCCGAGTCCGATCGGTCCCAGAACCACCACTGTCAAATCCCGTGACAACAAAAACAACCGGCAACCAGGGCAAACCAATCGGCGGACCTCGCTCCAGTTAATGGGAATGGCGGCTTCCAAGACCTTCCGTCTTTCTTGGTGCATTTCTCATCTTATCACGAGACTCACAAGGCCCTCAACAAGATACCGCGTATATACGGCTACTCACGGCCCAATTGACGTCAAGGGTCAGAATTCCGTGCTTTTTGAATGTGATGGGAATTCCAAGCCGCAATTCGCTGCATTACACCGCAGCTTACACTGCTTCGGATAGATCAATGGTAATATGCACGTTGTCTCGGTGCTGGTGATCCTGCGTAGTACCTGGAATGACTCCTCTGTGGTTACGCCATCAGCACATCGTGATGATGATGGTGATGATGATGATGATGACTGTGTTCAACCGTTTTTTTGGAGGACGGAGAGATTGAAGGGCGTGCCAATGTGGACCCCGACCCAGTTTACCTACACGTACTTTGCCGGGAGCTGCCAACTCGGCGGCAAGGGTCCGTTCGAACTTTTTTCTCGCTCCCGGCAAACTGGAAAGTGTTTGCCTGCCATACACTCATACATTAGGTACAGATACGGTACCCGTAAAATGACCTCAATGACTCAACGTCTTTACTTACAATATCAGGTAAGTTACCACCTCCGTCTTCGGTGCTCGGAATCCGTCTGCATGACGAGTATGGCAGCGGGCGGCATTGACGATCCGACCGACCCCTCCTGTGTTCCCTTTACACATACATACTCGGGTTAGACGGTGTGGACGAAAAGAGGTTGAAGAGAGGATTGTAACTTTTGTAAAGCCGCGCATACCTCCGGCATATCGTCTCTGTCCAAGGCCGCGGAACCAAGACAATGGCCAATCAAAATTACAATTTCCAACTTTTTACGTGCGCAGTTCCTTCCAGAATCTCGACTACTTTTCTTTTTGCCCACCTCTCAACTTCCCCACCTGACCTCTTGTTCCAGTCGGTTTGTCCAAATCTGTCTCCCTCATGTACCGTGATTGGCCAATGGGTCAGCTGCCCCCTGCGCAGCAAACATGAAGCTTTCAATTCTGTAACTTTACGTACCAAGCACCCGGCCCGGACAGTGTCAGGGAAATAAAGAATGACTCTCACTCTCGTCCACGAGTGACTGAATCCCGGCCTTTGTTATCGGCCCCGTAGCTACCCCCGGGAGCTGGCAGAGGGGTGGACGTGGGAGCCGGGCAGAGACCCATTTTAAACTCTTATCTAGATTGGTTTTCTATCCTTCGGGCATTCCTCCACTCACCCCGTACTGTCCGTCTCATCCGTCTCTTCCCTCGCGTGGCGTTGCCGTCTCTTAAAACTTTCCATTCTCCCCCTCTCTAATATCTCTCTTTTCCTCTGAACTCTCTCTTCAATACCATCCCATACCCGGTACCACAACACCCCTAATACTTCCAAAATGGTGTCCCACTCCGAGCCCCCCAAGGAGGACCTTGCTGCCGTTGCCCTCGAGCACAAGATCGATGAGGCCAACGCCATCATCAACGGCACCACCGATACCTCCAAGGTCCACGAGCTCGATGCCTCCAAGCTCGTCGTCACCCTCGCCGACCCCAACGCCCGCCAGGTCCCCGATGAGGCCGCCGCCAACGCCGGTCTCGAGACCATCTGCACCGACCACATGGTCACCGCCTCCTGGAACCACCAGTCCGGCTGGGGCGTCCCCGAGCTCAAGCCCTACGGCCCCATCTCCCTCATGCCCACCGCTTCCGTCCTTCACTACGCCACCGAGTGCTTCGAGGGTCTCAAGGTCTTCCGCGGCTTCGATGGCAAGCTCCGCCTCTTCCGCCCCAACCTGAACGCCAAGCGCCTGCTCATGTCCACCCTCCGTATCTCCCTCCCCGGCTTCGACCCCGTCGAGGTTGAGAAGCTCGTCGCCAAGCTCGTCGCCGTCGATGGCGCCAAGTGGCTCCCCAAGACCCGTCCCGGCTCCTTCCTCTACATCCGCCCCGCTGTCATCGGCACCCAGCCCCAGCTCGGCGTCCAGGCTCCCAAGGAGGCCCTCCTCTTCATCACCGCCTCGTTCATGCCTCGCATGGACAGCCCCGCCGGTGGCATGCGCCTTCACACCAACCCCGAGGATATGGTCCGCGCTTGGGTTGGCGGTTTCGGCTACGCCAAGGTCGGTGCCAACTACGGTCCTTCCCTCCTCGCCACCAACGAGGCCAAGGCCCGCGGCTTCCACCAGATCCTCTGGCTTTACGGCCAGGAGGCTTACTGCACTGAGGCCGGTGCTTCCAACTTCTTCATCGTCTGGCGCACCAAGGAGGGCAAGCTCCAGCTCATCACTGCTCCTCTTGACGACAAGCTCATTCTCGACGGTGTCACCCGCCGCTCCGTTCTCGAGCTCGCCAAGACCCGCCTTGCTGAGGAGGTCGAGGTTGTCGAGCGCCGCTACACCATCGATGAGGTCATCGAGGCTGACAAGGAGGGCCGCATCGTCGAGGCTTTCGCCGCCGGCACTGCTGTATGTTATTTCCCGCCCCCGTTGTTGAGTGTTCTGTCCAGCACGTATACTGACGTTTCCGCTTTCACAGTTCTTCATCGCCCCCGTCTCCCAGATCCACCACCGCGGCACCGACGTCCACATCCCTCTCGGCGAGAACGACTCCGGCGCCTACACCGCCAAGATCAAGTCCTGGATGAAGGACATCATGTACGGCAATGAGCAGCACGAGTGGGGTCTCGTCATCAACGAGGAGTAAGCCTTACCCAGTTTAAACCCAGCGATCTGATACCATATCCCTTTTGGACCCTTGGACCCTTGGACCCTTGGACCACCCACAACCAACCCTAGCGAGCGAGCGAGTCTTTTTCGACCCGACCCCCTTTTGGATTCCTGGATTTTCTTTGCTTTTTTCTCTCTCTACCATTTGGATCATTTTGAAAACACCCAAGCGTTGCTTTGCTTTGCTGCTTTCAAGAGTTGGAAAAGAACAAGAACAGGATTATTCACACGACAATTGATGACAAACAGGGATGAGGCTGCCGCTGGCCAGAAGAGGAAGAGAGAGCAGGATGATGAGGCCAAGCGCGAGTAAATTTTCTCGTTTTCTTGCCTTTCATCAACCAGCAACCCTCCCGCTCTTTCGCAAGAACGACCATGGAGGAAGGTTCAGAGACGTGAACATGAACACGAACACCAAAACAAAAACGTACGGATGACGGCGCCTGGCATGCATAGCGCTAGCGCATAGAACCATACGCAACAACAAGCGGATCAGATCTCTTGCATATAAAAGCACAAGATTACAAAAGCATGCAGGGAAGAAGAAGGAGAAGAAAAAGAACGGCATATTTGGGCGTTTTTGGGTTTTTTCGTCAACATACTACTCCCCCGTTGGGGTGATGTTATGTGTATAGAGATTTCTTCAAGCGTCTTTTAGAAGCGTGTGTATACCCGGAAAGAAAGAAATGAAGAAAAGGTCAAATCACATGGTTCTCTTGTTCGTGATTGTAAAATAATGTGTGGCGGTTAATTGCCAGCCATCTTAATCACCAGCCATTTCCCGTGCCGGTTAAAACGACATAAGGTGCCTTTAGGCTCTCGTTGATCGTTGTCTGGAGATAACAACCTTCGATAGGATCGATCTAACTTGCCGAACCTTAACGGTGCTTGCACTAACGATGGCAGGAGCTAACAAGACACAACACGAAACACTGGAATATGCAGGTATTGAAGGCACCAAAGAAGAACCCGAAACTAAAACCAGCGCAGCCCAGGTAAAAGAGAAAAGGGATATGGTGTCGATGAATGGGAAGACTACAGTATAGGTAGCAAAGGGAACACGACGTCCTTCTAAATGCTGTATATAAACATTATGACCCGAGAAAATGGCTGGTCTGGTGAGCAAGCTAACTAACAGGATGGTATCTTATGATGTTCTAATGAAACTTTGTGCTTCCTTCTGCCTTCGCCCTCGCTTTCGCTTTCGCTTCCATCCTCATGTAATGTATACGCAGTATGCTGGACATGTCCTTCCCTTGCTTTATGCCTCGCTTTTCCTTCATCCTTGCAAAGGGAGATAGAAATCTCCCCATATCACAGCCCCTCCTAATATGACAGTATCCGTGACCCCTCGATCTTCACTCCTCCTTCAGACTTAAACTTCCCTGACTTCCACCACCGCCAATACTCAGATTCGGAACCTTTCGCCGTAACGACTTGAAGCTCATCATCGAGCTCTTCCTAGCCAAGCTCAAACTTGGCGTCCTACTCCCCTGACTCGCCCAACTGGGAGACCTCAAAGGAGACGGGCCAATAGGACTCATAGGACCCATGGGACCCATGGACATGTGGCCAAAAGAACTACTTGTACTCCTAGGTATCGTCCGCGTCCCGGCGGTAGTCATCCTTCTCCTCCCCTTCGGAGGAGGAGGACTGGACCCAAGGGCTTCGATAAGACCAATAACATCGTTATTTTGACGACGAGGAGGGGGGCTGGACCCAAGGGCTTCGATAAGACCAACAACGTCATTGTTTCGACGACGAGGAGGGGGAGGAATGGAGCTAAGGATGTCGGCAAGGCTCATCACCTCGATTGCGCCCTCCGTACCATCGTCGGGGTCTTCGTCGTCCTCGTTGTCAACTAGGATAAAGGTGTCGTCGAAAATATGGTCGTCATCATCGTCGTCATCAGAGACATCAGAAGGTTCATCCACCTAGGAGTACCTCTTGCTCTTGTGACTGCCTTTGCCGGATCCGGTCTCGTTGCCTTCCATGACCTTGTCTAGGGTTTTGGCGCGTTCTGCTAAGGGGGCGGTTTCCCTGTGATTTGGAATCGGAATAATTAGCTTCGGTGTTCCACTTCGTATGGTAGGTTGTTCGTTTGTATCCGGTCATTTTGTTTCATGGCAGTTCGGTTGCGTTGTGTTGTGTTTCGTGTTTGGACATGGCTGATGGATGGTAAGCCGGCCCCCTTTGGACCCCTAAAGCGTCCACGGCGTATGTCTTTTTGAGGTCCGTAGGTTGGTGGACAGGCAGGTAGTACAGGTAGGTGTCATGGATAAGGATGAATGAAACCACACCACAATCTCTCACGAAGAGCGATAGTGTAAGCAAAAAACTCCAAAGCGTCAAAACACTATAGCCCCCGATCCCCTCTTTCCCCCCTTGTCCTGCTCAGTACTTTTGCTCCCGCACATAGGCCTGCCAAAAACGAAACATAGTCATCACGCATCATCCAAAAAAGAGCATCACACATAAGCAACGTCAAAACAACCATCAACATCACAAACATCACGCATCGCACAAGAAACACTCACATCAACCCCCCTAACACCACTCTGCCCACCGCTCCCACTTCCCCTCTCACTCCTGCTCGACTCTGCTCCTCAAACTCTTTGATGACTCCTTGAACAATAATTTTGCGGATCTTGGCATCCGCCTTGGTAAAAAGCTCCGCCACTGTGCCAGTGCACTCTCTGGCTGTGGGGACCAGTGACAGCAGTCTCGTATAAGTGTCGATCAAAACGTCGCATAGCGTCGCAAAGGTTTCGAAGAAATCCGGATCGAATGGTAGGTTAGGCGTTAGTAAATGCGTGTACTCCTCTCCCGGAAGGAGCTCGGTTTGCTCGGCTGGCGAGAAGGAGATGGGTGCTGGGGAGTTGGCTGATGATGTTGTTGGTTGTGCGGTTTGACCCGAAGATGAGGCGCCGGCGACAGTAGAGGCTGCCGTTGACGGGGCGGTTGATGTTGCCGAGGTCGACGAGGGGATGCCACTGCTGCTTGTCGATGTGGTCTTTTCGGTGGAAGTTGAAGTGTTTCCCGCGCCCGAGTTTGTGGTGGTGTGGGTGAGCACGGATTCGTCAAAGGTACCCGTGTGGGAGGGAACAGATTCGAGAGCGTAACCGAAATCGTTGGGGTCGTTTCCGTTGGCTGTGGATGGTGGTATGGGCATCGCTGGGACGCTGGATCCGTTCACGGTGGTGCTGCTGCTACCTCCTCCCATGCCAGTCGCACTACTTGATCGTCTTGTTTTGGCGCTGGGCGTCGCTCGTCGGAACATTTGCGGGATGCGCGCCCGTGATAGGGAACTGGTCGATGCCGGGCCATTTTCTGAGTGTAGTTGTTGGAAAGAGTCGAACTCAGCTAGGAGGTGGTTCAGACTTCGCAAGAACTCGGTAGGGTTGTTGCAGTTGAGATCGAGAACGGTGGGTAGGGAAAGACCCAAGAGAAGGTAGTTGGTTGCCCTTCTGCCCAATTTGCTGCTATTGAAATATGGCATCTTTTGTAAGTCGGGCTTGTCAAAGAGGATAGTGTTGAACCAGTAAATACGGCCTTCGTGACTGCGAGAAAGGAGACATGGTTAGCATGTGATCTTGGCTCTTTGAAACAAAAACAAAGTGAACATCAGGTGAAGGGAAGATGTACGCTTTCCGCAGATAGTCCAAGGTTGATATCCTCTTGTTCGCCGTCTCTTGTATACGCGCGTGCACCTCTCCCAGCTCGCTTTGGGGCCCAGGAGCCACCATAGCGGGAGGCGCTAACTGTGCGACACTTGGCCCGAAGCCATTCACAGGCGTGGGAGCACCGCGGCTCAACATTCTCGAGAAGTTGATAGTCTCGGTTGCAGACGGCGGGGAGGGTACGGCGTCGGTCAATCGTGAGGCGGCAAGCGCAATGTCGGGGACGGGAGGGATGGGGCTTTGGCTGTAGGAGCTATGGCTGTAGGAGCTATGGCTGGTGACGAGACGAAGGGACGGTTTTCGGGATAGCCCCCCGAGACTGCTTCTACCGGACGAAGGCGCTGAGGTGGGTATAACTTGTGCGGCTCCGGTGCCAGGGCCATTTCCCCCTGGGGCTCCGGACGTAGTCGATAGGGACGAAGCCGTGCGACGATGTCTGTGTATGAGGGACGAAAGGGACGGCTTGCGACCGAATGAAGGCTGGCGATCACGATTCTCGCGTTTGGGATCTTTGGGGTCCTTGTGGAGGACCTTATGCTGGCGGGGACCTGGTCCTGGACTTGGGAGCGTTGAGTCAGCGGCGCTATTCCCGTTGATGCTGGCGCTAGCCTGGCTAGTGCTGGTCTTAGTGTCGTCGGCCGCTGTGATTGGCAAGTCCAGCACTGCGGTTGATGATGATGATGCCTCTGGAGGTGGTGGTATTGACGACGGTGGTGGTTGCCCCTTCTGCCCCTGCGCATGTGCCTGCTGTAGCTGCACCCCTGACGGCGAGGAAGCTGTTAATGCACCTGGTTGGTCTCCAGCTGGAATTGGAATTGGATTGGGGTCTCCGCCATTAACAGCAGCAGCAGCAGCAACAGCGCCCGAACTGGTCCCCGGTCGCGATCTCCCAAACGAAGGTCTTTTCCGGGGAGATTTGGGCGACTTGCTGGTGGGGACTGGGGGAGGAGCACCTTCCCCAGGAGGAGATGAAGGCCCCGGATCGGTCATGGAGGAGTCGTTGCCATTGCTTTTTCTTCTTTTCCCTCCTTCTCTCCCAAAAAGTGACGAGAAAAAGGGAGTCGCGTGTGTCGTCGGACTGGTTCGCTGCATGTCTCACACTTTATTTTGCTGATACCGCAACCTTTAAAAGTCGAATAAGTATTGCATCCCCGCAAGCTACCAACCTCGGCAGGCCACATTCGAGGCTGTGGTTGTCCAGAAGACGTCGTCGTTCACATGGGATATTCAGGGTGCCGCAAGATGTAAAAAAATTCAAAAAAAAATTGTTTCTGCTATTGATAATGATCTTGCCTTGATCAAGGGTTGAGTAAACAATCGTCACAACAAAGGGAATCTCAAGTGGAAAAACGGGTAGCCACGCGGACTCTGTCCAAGCCCACACAACGATTGGGTCCCGACTCGATATAAAGACTCGGAAAGAAAAGCTACGACCATCAAAGACCCCAAGCTCTGACAACAAGGACGACGGAACGGGAGCGCGACCCCTTTCCCGCCGTTTGTCGCAACGGGAATCCCAGTTACCGCCCGTCAGAGACATGAATCCCGCGGCTGCTCGTGGCGATTCGATGAGGAGCATTGGCCGGCAAACGAGAGGCCATCCTGGGACTTTTAAAGAGCCGAGCTGAGACTTTCCATCCCAACACACAAGAAGCTCGTGATACAGCGATGCCGGTGGCCTGTGATTCATTTGTTGAGAAGAAGAAGAAAAACGAACGTCTTAGCAAGCCCAACAGTGGCGCCCTTTCCGGCCAGGTGAATGGAATGTTGTTGAACATAACAACAGCTATTGAATGGCAAGATGAATCGAACCCTAAGCCATACGCAAGGAACAGTTGAGAAGTTTGGACCCTGAAAAAGAGCCTCCAATGGATCACCAAAGATAACAACATTACGTACCATAACCCAGCATGATGGATGAAAGGAATCGGGTCGCTGTTTGGGCCGCGGTTGTTGGGCGGGAAGAACGGACAAAGCGCCGTACAATTTAAGCCTGCAAACAGATGTCACTTAAAGACCAGACAATGCGTTTCTTGGGACAATACCAGACCAAAACGCCTTATCAACGAACACATATAAAATCAGAGTGAGTGCAGCTAGCTAAGCTCGAGGCCTGTCGTATACATTCAACAGCACCGAGCTGAGCAAATAGCCATAGTCCTGAATAACAGTCACCATTCCCGTTGCTTCAATATTCTGTACATCAAGGAGTGGGGGATGGGCAGATTGGAAAGAGGGGCAACAAAAGGGGGTAGGGTATCAGTGGTCTTATTCAGGTGCCGATCAACACAGCTCTCGTGACAACACTTTCTTTACTTCACCACGTTTCACCCGGGAACTCTTTCTTAATCACTAATTATTGAAGCTTCGTTCTTCTCCCCATCTCAAAGTTCCACCCGCTTCTCTTGGATTAATACTTCTTGAAACTCTTCAAGGACACATTGCACCTTCTTGTACTACAAACTTATTTCGAAGCCCAACACAACGCCATCTCATAAACAACCGGTGTTCAGACCCAACTCAAAACATATTCCCAACTCAAGGACATCAAACCAAACACACACAATGGCCCCCACGGACCCCGTCAACCCCGCCGGCGAGCCCGCCCTCTCCCTCCTCGAAGGCCGCCTCTGGGTCGACGGCTGCTTCGACTTCTTCCACCACGGCCACGCCGGCGCCGTCGTGCAAGCCCGACAACTCGGCACCGAGCTCTACGTAGGCGTTCACTCCGACGAAGCCATCCTCGAAAACAAGGGTCCCACTGTGATGACGCTGCGCGAGCGCCTGCTCGCCACCGACGCCTGCAGGTGGGTGACCAAGTCTGTCCCTTATGCGCCCTACGTCACGCAGCTGGACTGGATCAGCCACTTCGGGTGTAAGTACGTGGTGCACGGGGACGACATCACGTCCGACTCGTCCGGGGAGGATTGCTATCGCTTTGTGAAAGCCGCGAACCGGTTCAAGGTTGTTAAGCGTACGCCGAGTATCTCTACGACGGATCTGGTGGGGAGGATGTTGTTGTGCACTAGGACGCATTTTATCAAGGATTTGGAGAGGGTGTTGGAGGGCCAGGAAGGACATGGGACGCAGGAGGAGAAGAAGAAGGTAGGCGAGGAGATGAAGGAGAGGATTAGACTTTATGCCACGGACGAGACAGCCAAGAACCCCGGTGCGGACGTGTGGTTTTGGAAGGGCAACGAGAAGAAGGAGGAGGGCAAGGAGGGCAAAGGAGAGGAAAGGGGCGTGTTTAGGGAGTTGTTTAAGGGGATTGGACCGAAGCCTGGCCAGAGAGTGGTTTATGTTGATGGAGGGTTCGATTTGTTCTCGAGCGGACATATTGAGTTCTTGAGGCTGGTTACGCAGAAGGAGGAGGAGCTAGCGCGTGAGGAGGGGTGGTACTCGCAGCAGGCGATCGAGGAGAGGAAGGGCAAGGGAGCGGATTACGGCCCAGCGTTTGTGGTTGCTGGTGTTCATGATGACGAGGTCATTAACCGCGAGAAGGGCGTGAATTATCCCATCATGAACGTCTTTGAGCGTGGTCTCTGCGTTTTGCAGTGCAAGGTATGTTGGTCACCGACAGGGTCGTTCGGGAGATTTTTGCTGACATTCGAAACAGTACATCAATGCCGTCGTTTTCGGTGCTCCGTTCAAGCCCACCAAGAGCTACCTCACCTCTCTACCTTGGGGCACTCCTGATGCGGTCTACCACGGACCGACCTCGTTCATGCCGCACACCGAGGACGTGTATGCGGTTCCCAAGGAGATGGGCATCTACAAGGAGATCGGTCCCCACGACTACGAGGAGGTGAATGCCGGCACCATCGTCCAGAGAATCATGAAGAGCAGAGATCTCTATGAGGCACGCCAGAAGGCCAAGGGCATGAAGGCCGACATCGAGGCCGCCCACAGGGAGCGCGAGTTGCTGGAGGAGCAGCAGAGGCAGAAGGAGGAGGCCATCGCCGCGCAAAAGGAGTAGAGATCCTGTACAATGTACGCGAACAGACACACCAACGCCAACCGTCATCGGCATCCGGAGCAAGGAGAATCTCATCAACGGACTTGGATAGACGGAGTCACGGAGATGTAATATGATAGACGGGCTTTCAACATGCTCCAGGAAATGTTCATGAGACACACGAGCATTATAGACGGTGTCAACGAACAGCGGAAGAAGCTAGACTAGTACTACGTAATGATGATAAAAAGGAGGCTTTGAATAACAAAAAAGCGAATGCTTGGAAAGTTCATCAGATCATATTCAATAAGAGTCATCAAGGGTGATGCGCGAAGATTTACCCCGGCACCACTTCAGAGCTTGACTCTATTATTGTGTTTCTCATCACCTGAACTTGTGAAGCCCCCCAGATCGTAGCAGAGATGCCTTTTACGTTTGCGCCAACCAAGGACAATGTGACATGATCGGGATGGACGGGTTGTTGGAGGACTTCCAGCGAAATCCCAGAGTTTCAAAAGATGTCCAACCAAACCACGTCGCATGTCCCAAGTCGGGAACAAACGAACAAAGCAAAAATGGGTTGTTTGTGAAGCAACCCCCCTCGCACCAAGAATAAGCCCCGTCGAGTAACTTCGCCCATGTCTCCCCTAGTAAAAGACACAAGAGCGAGCAATCGCATATCTGTGGTATCATGACGAAACCTCTCGAGCCGCCGTTAAAACGCCCCAAGTCCGGACCACCCAAACGGCTGAACCCACCATCGACCCCAAGCCCCCCCAGATCAGGCGACCAAGCTTCTCACCCGAGGCGCGGACTCATATCTTCGTCCATGTTGGTCCCCGAGCTTGAAAAATGACGACCTCCCCGAGGAAGCAGACGAGACCGACTTTGGTGTGATGGGCAGGGCTGGGCAAGACAGACGAGGAACTGGGCAACGCCGAGATCAGCCGCAGTGCTTCTATGGCGGCGCGTTTCCGCAATCCGTTCGCAAATAGTGAACGAATGTCCGGGGACTTTCTCCCAAAGCTCGATTGGAAATGAAAGAAAACACGCCAAAAAGGCGCGAATCTCTCCGTGTGGAAGCTTCGAATAGCGATTTGTCGGACGAGGGGGTGTTGCTTGGAGAGGAGAAGGGAAGGGAAAAGATTGGTGGTTTGCGGGCCCGAAATTTTCTTAAATGGCACTTGCGGCAGGGGTGGGTCTGCTTGGTTCGAGGTGGGGCTGATTGTCCAATCAGCTGTGAGGGCTGGCCGATGAGCGAATGTTTTTTGCGCAGCCACGATGTGGCGTGAACGTAGTGACAGGTCACCAAAAGGCAGCAGCAGAGTGCAAGCTCCAGGCAGGGCAGGCAACGGCAGGCAACTTTAGGTCGGGTTGCAGCCTCTCTCCAAACTTTCTGCCGGCTGGCGTGTGTGCATCCATCCCACTCTCCCAAAGCGCGACCCGCGACTGGATTCCATTTACAGCCAGCAACTTTCGCTGCTGCTGGTCATAACCGTCTTCAAAGCGGTGCTTTTTCAACGAACAAGATATAAGAAGCTGCTCTGCGCAATTGCACAGCTTCAGAACCTATAGCAACAGACGAACCGGCATTTTTCGCGACCCGATATACGATACGCGCGACAACAAGCTATAAACTGCCCGACGACTCGAGTCTCACGACTCCCGCCAACACAAGCCAAACATGGCTGGTCTTTTCGGTTCCGCCGCCGCATCGGCGAGCAACACCCTCGGCGATCTCAAGCAGGATGTCGAGCTCGGCCAACCCCCTGAGGACAGCATTACCGATCTCGCCTTCAACCCCAATCCCGCCGACCAGAAGGACTTCCTCGCCGTTGCCAGTTGGGACAAGAAGACACGCATCTACGAGATCTTGAGCAATGGGCAAGGCCAGGGGCAGGCCATGATTGAGCATGATGGTCCTGTTTTCTCCTGCGATTTCTTCAAGGTATGTTTACCTCCATTGTCTCTACGGTCTGACCAGATACTAACGAGCACTTCCCAAACAGGATGGTACAAAGGTCATCTCCGCCGGCGCCGACAAGGCCGCCAAGGTTCTCGATTTGGCCACCGGTCAGTCAATGCAGGTCGCCGCTCACGATATGCCCATTAAGTGTGTTCGCTACTTCGAGGCCAACGGCACCCCCATGGCGGTGACAGGTGGTTGGGACAAGCAAATCAAGTACTGGGACTTCCGCTCCGCGAACCCTGCCGCTACTGTGCAGGCTCAGGAACGTGTCTATACCATGGATGTGCGCGACAACTTGCTCGTGGTCGGAACCGCTGATCGTTACATCAACGTCATCAACCTGAAGGATCCCGGCAAGTTCTACAAGACGATGCAGAGCCCTCTCAAATGGCAGACCCGCGTGGTGAGCTGCTTCAACGACTCTCAGGGTTTTGCTATTGGTTCGATCGAGGGTAGATGCGCCATTCAATACGTGGAGGATAAGGATTCTGCGTACGTCTTCACCTTCCCATGCTATCACTTCTACCGAACACGCTGACTAACAGACTTCTCCTTCCAGCTCCAACTTCTCCTTCAAGTGCCACCGCGATCCCGCCCAAGGCAACACCACCGCCGTCCACGCGGTCAACGACATCTCCTTCCACCCCCAACACGGTACCTTTAGCACAGCCGGTAGCGACGGCACTTTCCACTTCTGGGACAAGGACGCGAAGCACCGTCTCAAGGGCTACCCCAACGTCGGCGGCAGTATCACCTCGACAACGTTCAACAAGACCGGCAGCATCTTTGCCTACGCCATTAGTTATGACTGGAGCAAGGGCTACCAAGGCAACTCTCCCACGTACCCGAACAAGGTCATGCTCCACCCAGTACAGCAAGACGAGTGCAAGCCCCGCCCCAGCGTCAAGAAGAGGTAGGAGCGGAACTCGACGACGACGATAAGCGGGGCAGGCAGGATGGGAAGATAAGCAGGGGGGAATATTCCATGGGGAAAATTTTGGTAGAAAGAGTGCTGTGGAAGGCTGGCTATCTGGACTAGTTCTGGATAGGGAAAAGGCGACCCTGTCCTGCTAAGAGGCCAAGGAATGAACAAGGACGAAGCATGGAGGCTGGTTGGGATGTTGGAGTAGAAGTATGGAAACGGCCGAAGAGAGAGAGAGAGAGAGAGAGACACGGTACGAAAGTGATGGATGACAAGAATCAACGATACCACCAGAGGTCCGCACGGCAAAGGAACGCAAGGAAAGAAAGGAAAGAGGGAAGCAAGCAACAGCGCGAAGCTTCTTTTTACGAATTTGGTAGTTTAGGTAGTTAGGTTAATCAATGGGTTTTAAGCGTAACTGGGCGGAGCAGAATAGGGAGTGAGCTACTATTTCCGGTTCAGGGCAGACCAAAGCATGAAGTGAGTGCTGTATCGGGTACTATCTTGGCCGTATACATACTTGTAATCACAGAAAAGGCTTTGGGCAACCTCAAACAAGGGTCAATGAGGAGAACAGAGCTCGGTCCGCTCATACGGAACGGAAAGCGAAGAGAAAATAGTCCTGAAGTCTACAATTTGACCTGGAGATCAAGTCTATGACGATGTGAGTGTATCAATCCCGTTCAACCCACAATGTTTTCATAGTCATCGAGGACTCCTCACCCTACCATGATGATTCGGTCATGTCCAAGCCAGTATCTGAAGGTTTATACCAGTCACTTCACTTTTGCATGTCACTTGTACCGCATGTTTCCTTCCTTTGGCCAAATGAACAATCTCAGTTTTTCAACCGACTTAATTGACTTGCGCTCAGAGACCCGTCCGTTCCTTACCAGCCGGCTTTCGGTCTTCTTTGCTTTCTACTTGACGCTACCTATATAACCAACCTTTTCTTATGGTGGTTCGTAGTGGTACGTGATCCTTTTCTTTGCTCATGTGTCGCACACTAGTCCACTAGATCACGCTCTAATGCTATATACAATAGTTTGTCTGTCTGGTAGTTTGGTGTGTAGGGCGGGTATTCGGGATGAGAGCGATCTTTGTCAATAAACCCGCGTGGCCTCCACGGGTCAACGATACGAAGTTAATTTACCGGATATCAACTGAGACGATTTGCGTATATTGGCGGACATCCTGCAGTGGGATTGGAGGTCTATCCGTCAGCGAAATGTGTAACTGGGTGTATAATAGATGTTTCGAGCTCGAGGTCTTTCCAATTGAAGATTTGTGTCAAGATCATAACCTGTTGGCCATCAAATCCGAGTATATATTATGCTATTGAAATGCTCTCGTCTCGATGGATCGTGCTTGGTCGGAAAGCCGTAAGAGCCCATTTGAAGCAAGAAATCCGAGGGAACCTGGTGGTTTATTGAGCAAATGTAAGGTAGGTAGGATTCAAGAGTCAACATGATATCCAACTCATTCCTGCACACCATTTTGTTAGAATTTCTGGTGCGTACCTGCCTTCGACTCTCCAAATGTCCATGGTAAGTTTTTGTGCCTGACACACTTGTATTGACATCACACCTTCCAGACATCCTTCGTCAAGGTCAACCTCAACCTCAAGCTTATCTACTCCACAGTCCACAGGTTGATCATCGTAGACACAATCACATGATCACATGTCAAGGTCATTTGACACTTCATTGCCTCCTTCCTTATTCCGTACTTCCAGTCTGAACCAAAACGGAGAGCGGTTTTTAGCAAGTGCGATAAGACTCGCATGATCGTGATCTTTATGTGTCGACTTCCGAGGCTTCCGGGACTGGTGGAAGAGGAAAAGTGAAGTGGCGGTGATGATGCGGTGTATAGTATGCTTGATCCAACAGAAGCAATCAACATTTTGAATGGTTCACGGCAGGTAGTCAAGGCACTGGTATGTAGCTCAGAGTGAGAATCGAACAAACACTCGGTATCTCGGAGATAGTACCACGATCAATGTCAGAATGTTGCAAAGTGCCGTGATAAACGCCGAGTGTCGACCGAGTCAAGACAACCCGACGATGGAGATGGAGATGGAGTAGTTCCGACTTCCGTGGAGTAAAATGTTAAGAGCGACACTACCTACCACTTACAAAAAGCTTGTATGGTGGATTGATGAGCGGTAGGTATCCTCTCCAAGATGGAGTTTTAAGCGTTTATGGCAACTCTCCAGTGTTTCTCGGACGTCCACGTCTATACGTTGACTATCGGGTCTTTCGCCCGACAGTAAGCGCTTCGTCTTCAGCCAAAGGTGTTGACGTTCTTTCTTGATTCGTCAAAGGCGAGGTTTGCCATGGAGGTCGACCATCTCCATCGTATTGTTTCCAGAGCAGCGTGCTGACCATACCTGGTAATGTTGTTCTTGTCGACGTCAATGACCACGTAGCTGCGCCACACGGCTGTCACGGATTAGAGACTCTCGACATCTGACGATGTCTTGGTGACCGTATAGTCAATAGTCCGAGACCGAAACATAAAAGCATCCCATGATGTATACAGGTCCACCACGTCGAGTCCCCGGGTTCCATACCTTGGACCACCATGGCAAGGACCGACGGGATGCGGTTGTAAGTGGAACTGTCAGGAGTTGACAGGTTGACAGCTACTCCACAAGGGACCATCGAGGATGCCTCAATCCTTTCCATCGTCTTAAGCTGATATGGTGGATTGTGCGTCATTCCATGTTCCGGTTGTATATGGCAAGTCTCTGAGAGAATGTAGCTTTCGTGATGTCTGGTCGTCTTGATCGGGATCCAACGAGAATAACAATCATCACAAAGATCCTCGCGTGTCTGTCTTGTCTTTGATGTTAGTTTGTGTGCACTTTGAGAAATGTCCATGTCCAAAAGGATAGCGGAAGAATTCAAAGTGGCTGGTGGTTTTTGTTGAAGTGGATGACCTCAGGATACATGTGGCGGGTATGCCGAGACTTCCGCGGACGGCCGTCGCCGATGTGTTGAATTGTATGTCGCGGTAAAACAACACCCAAAAGGTCGTATGGTTGAGAATGCGAAGTCTATCCCTTTTCGTTCGTATAAGATAAGGTGCGGTCCGAAGCGAGGCTGTGATGTGCCTACAGGTACAAAAGTTCCCAATATATGAGTGGCTGATAAGATTTGATAAGGGAGCGCCGGGATCGGAACTGGTGCACGGCGCAGACAAACAGGCTGGGCAAGGGGCCAAAAAAAGCAAACGACTTCCATGAGAGTTTCAAGAATACGAATCAGAGTGAAAATGAGTTGCTCAAGAGGCAACAGGTGGCTGATTTCCAAGCGATGATGCTGATGGAATTCCGTGATTTTTGACGCACGGCTTACCTGCATGGAACAAAATAAAGTTGATTCCAAGAGGCTTCGACTGGCTTAACTCTGATAGGCAAGTCGATGACACTGCGTTATCAGATTGCACCAAAAAAGTTTATTTGGAATCTCTCTGGGCACTGGCAAGATTTGGAATATCGAGATCTTGTTCCCTGAATGAACTGAGGCTATGACTCTGAAGTGAGGGTATCCCCAGTGTTCTAAGACGAACATCAAAGATCAGCAAGCAACTCGCTTGTCCCAACTGGAACTGGTCTCCAGCAAGACCATCCACATTTCCAACCCCCGGGAAAAGTGACTGTCAGAAAGAAAGAGAGTGACTCAAACTGCAGAGCTTACCGCCTCGAGACACGCAGGCAAGGCATGGAGAAACTCCCGTTCGCGATCCGTCGATAGCTCAGCCGGGCCATCCGTAAGCTGTGACAATGTGAATGTACGTACCCCCCGCCGTACCCAGTCACTGTCACTGCCAGTACGCGCAACCAAAGCGCACCAGTGACAGGCTGACAGATGAGATGCGATTCACGGATTGCCCACGTGTTGTGAAAAGTTGTTGACCAGCTAACCGGATCAGTCCTGGTCCTGGTATCCAATGGTCTGGACAGCTCTGATGTTGAATTGCTTTGCTTTCGCTTGTGGTCTTGGAAGCATTCCGTGGCGGCGGCTGCGAAACCAGGGGACTGGTTGTTGTGACTTGTGTGTCGCGGGCCCGCGGGCAACGTCGAAGTCAAAAACACCGACGACGGACTTGACCGCCTCGCGAAAGCCAATGGAACCTTGATGGCCCAAGCTTCCTCTTGTTGAGCAAGCTGGGCCGCCCTTTGTCGAAGCTTGTCCAGAGTGTCGCACTTTCCCCTCGCACTTTCCCCAAAAAATTCTCCACTGTCTCAGGAACAGGCAGCCCGCCAAGCTCGGCAGGCAACTGGCAGGCAAGTGCGAATCTCACTTCTGGATCGTTGAGATCTTGTGACTTCTTGAAAGTACAGACCCCCCTGTCGTGGCTGTATGGGGAAAGGGTGGGTTCGGGATGCTTGGCTTAACGCAGGCCGACGCCAGCGACACCGCGAACTCCACGAACCCCATTACCAGACTCCATTACCAGCTCCATACCAAACTCCATCTCTCCGGCCTCGAAACCTGGGGTTAATGGTCATTGTGCGTGTTAGTCACTGCTAAATATCCGCTTTACATTTACCCGGACGCCCGGACGGGGGACGATCTGGGAATCGCATCAGAGGGCAGTCCGTCAAGCGGCAACAAGCTTGTGAAACTCGGAGCAGAGGAGAAATGGAAGCCCGTGGGAGCACAAAGCTGCACTCATGGGCTGTTTCGCTCTCGACAATATTCGGGATTCACTCTCGCGGCTACGTCGTCATCGGCTCATACACCGGAATACTGTACGACTAGCCGGGAAGTACCGACTCTTTGTTAGTGAACCTTTGAACCTTTTGACGAACCCCCTAGCTTTGACCGTTCGGTGCAGTGCATACAACCCGAGATGCTGAACCTGCAAACAATTACCTACCTTACCTTATCTCCACTGCATCAAGATGAGCGCTTGGCCGGTAAATCGCAAAGGCTAAACCACCAATACGGATGATCATTGCCATCATAAACAATGTAACCTTGGCAACTTCCAACGTCTCCAAGCTGGAGATGGTGCCAATCAAACACTATCAGAACCATGTCCCCAGGCCTCCGACCATCACCAACACCAAAAAGAGGGGTCCGTACTCCAGACTCTGGGGACTTTGGGGCTTGGGACAGTCTATCACCACAAGCGACACCCAATTGCAAGAGAGTGGCATTGGAGTTGTATGGGGATGCAAGAGGGATGTGCCGGTTTGTTGTCGAACGGCAGTCGTCTCCAACAGCAACAGCGCACGAGTCAATCTGTGAACTCTCCACGGCACTCCATGCAGATCGAGTTGAATGGCTCCAAGCTCCCCCTGTCCCCTCCTTTCTTGGGGTTTCTTGTACCCCCCTTGCAAGTCCTCAGATTGGCCTTGGGCCGCCCAGATCTCTCGAGCGAGGGTCCGGAGGTCCGTTCCCGGCCTCGACTTTTATATCGACCGCTTCTCCCCCAGCTTCGGTCCCCAACATCCTCAACATCTCGTCAGCTCCCCTTGTACTACTCTGGATTCAAATACCAGCCATCTCTTTCCTCAAACCTCATTTTCTGTCTCTGTCACCTATATCTTTCTCACACTTTCAAACCTCAAACCTCTTTGACATCAACTAGCCATTCAGTGCAGCACTCAGCACAGCTATCCGAATCAGGAAATTCTCATTATACCTACACATCAAAACCACACACCCAACACATCAAATAACCACATCAACAACAATCATCATGTCGAGAATTGCCGTTCCCATCACAAAATTCACCAGGTCCTTGAGCACATCTCCTGCTGTTGCCAAGCCTAGCCATATCCTCAATGCCACCAGCAACGCCAGCAGGAAAAGAAAGCTGGGTGAGGAGTCCGGCGCTGAGACTCTCGATGTGAGTTCCCTTCCCCCTTTGTTTCTCCCCTCAATTCATTGCTTCTCTCCCAGCTCTGCCCCTCCTCCATTACATAACACTGCCACATCTCTGGACAAAACACCGAGACGTGCATAATCTCCAATTGCCGTCTCCCCTCACCATGGACGGCACCTATCAAACATTCGGATCACTCTCCCCCTATCATCTTCCCGTCCTTGCAGCATAAGCACCCAATTTGGGAAATGCTCTCACCAACTTCCCGTTCACTCCCGTCCACACACCACTACCAAAAAGACACAGATATGAATAACAATGATACTAACAAATCCCACACGGCCCGCACCCCCCGTAAGGTTCCTCTGATGCAGGGTTTCCGCACCTCGGCCCCTACCAACGCCTCCATCGGCCACTCCTTCTCCAACAACGGCATCGACGCCATCGTTCTCCCCAACCTCCACGCCACTGCCCCACCTTCTTCTTCTCCTTTCCAGCCCACCTACTTCGACACCATCCGCGTCCCCCTGCTCCCAGACAACAAGACCCCTCCTCCTCCTACCGTCCAGCGCATGCCGCTCTTCGATGAGCTAAAACCCGAGCAGCGCGGCGAGATTCCCTCCGACGGTGATGCCGACCTGATGGCCAGCAAGCCCACCGTCGCCGTCGTCGCCAACCACCCCGGCCAGGTGCTCCCCGCCTCGCTCAGCCAGGAGGTTGTCGATATGGACAACTGGACTGGTGCCGATTGGGTCAGCTTGGGCTTCGTCCGCGACATTGCCCGTGACGAGGCTCAGGCGCAGGACGAGGCGGCTGGTGGCCAGGGCATGATCAAGAGCTTGTGGCAGGGTATGGTGGAGGATGTGTTTGGTCCTGCCAAAGGTGGTCCCTCCAAAGCTTAATGCTCTCTCTCTCTCTTTTGACAAGGGACGATTTCATTGAGTTTTTTATGTGATCACACTGGATAAGCGAGCGGTATTGGATTTCATTCCTTATCATGGGTCATGGGTTTTGTCGCATATGAGTACCTCTATGTACAAGATTGGGATTTTCTTGTTGGGTTTTGGAGCAGGTGTTTTGGATACTACTCTTTCATTGTCTGTCTTTTTTCATCGTTACGACATGAGGAAGACCTCAACAGTATTGTTTTATGAATAGTTATTACCTACCGGTACCTACGGGTGAATCACTCGTGGGCTCGCTGACTCGATTATGAGAAATTGAGAAAGGCTTGAGCCTCGAAATTCATCAGATTAACAACCAGTTACTCTGTCCCCGTGTTTGTGAACTGGTATCGAAATTCTTCAGCATCTCCCATTGTGCACAGTCAGGTTCATTTCCCACTCATTAACATCACCTTGATGTCATGTCGTCCATACTCTGTCGTGGTACTCACTGATTTTGGTATTCTCACGAGCACGATATTGTGACTTGCGGATCGCCTCATCCTCACCAACACCACCCATCCATTCCGCTGTTTCCGTCAAAGCTAATCCAAATGAGGTCTAGATTCCGTTCACCCCGGGCCGACCGATTGCGACCGACACAGAAACCCAAAACTCCAAATCGCGAAAATTACAAGCAACTGCAAATGCCGGGAGCAACAGGATGCATGACATCAACCTCCTGTCCCCCAGGCCCTCTCCAAGCCTCCCACCTTTCCGCCGTCTCCACTCTCCACATTATCCCCGGGGTACGGGATCACATGCTTGCTGCTCACATGATCAAGTCACATGCTTACCCCAGAAGCACCAAGAGGACCAGACCAGACCAGGCCCCAAAGTACACTACCGGTCTACCAGACAACGCTAACGTCAACCTTACTTAAACTTTCCGAACGTCAAGTCCCGCCGGGACGGGAATTTTGTGGGATGACTTTAGGTTGTCGGCTAGGCACGGACGGGGTTTGCGAAGTGCCGACTCCGATGGGGGCAAGATGTACTTGTCCGGGCTTGGTAGAAACACCGTCTAGAGTCTACCAGCCCGAATGGGAAACGGGAAATGGCAATGTTGATTGATTGATGGTTGGTAATGACGCTTCATTGGTATGATTATTGTGATTCACTGACTTTGCACGCTTGGCGCCTTTGTCAGATAGCACAGCTTCAGTATGTCACTTTGAGACTGGATTTGAGATTCTACAGAGGAGGAGGATTGTCATTCTGGCTCAATCCCTGGTGAGTGAGTTGGATCATGACGTCTGTTAATGGCACTGTACACGATTTTGGACAAGAGAGTTAGGTACGTTCTAGAACTGTCGCTGACTGTTGATCAGGCCAAGATTCAAAGGTTCTTCTTGAGTCCGATGGGATCTGAGGGGAACACCCCTTTCAGATGCTGGATGACTTCCTACAACATCTGAAAGTCCTGCTTCTGAAGGATTTTGCGAAGAGTATTGATCTAATTTGCTTCGAAACCACTGACATTAGATTGCGCGTATAGACATAGTTGTTAATTACTAGGTATCATATCCGTCAAGCAGACGAGATGAATTAACTTTTCCCCCATGGCCTGGTCCCCAGATTGTGTCGCACGCAACTTCAGATTGATCAAAGCATTAACACCATGGCCCTAAAACTGTCCCATCACGAACTTTTTTTAAGTGAGTATTCCCATCACACATCCTCGATCGAGGTGTAGAACAGGTGCAAGTCCGGGATGATTGCCTTCCGGTAGTCCTAAACCAAGCATGTTAGCATCTATCACAACTTAAATGTTTGGAGTGACCACTCGCAACTTACCTTCTCAAGATCCTTCATCATCTGATAAGTCAAGTTCGTCAACTCCGTCACTTCTTCCTCCGCCTTCTCGATCTCCTCCTGAATAGCCTTCTCATACTTGGCCAACACATCCTGTTCATCGAGCTTCTCAGACTTCGCTTCGTTTCCATTTGGCCCAAGCAGATCTTCACCCTCCCCATTCTCCCCTGTCATAACACCCTCAAACTCTCTCCCAGCTACCTTCCCCTTTCCCTTATCACCTCCCTCTACGTTCTTCCCTTTCTTCCCCTTCTCCATCCCCATCCCCTCAACCTCTCCCCAAACCTCCTCCCAAACCCTCTCAAACCCCTCTTCACTCTCCACCCACTCCCTCCACAGCCCCTCCATCTCCCTCTCCGCTTCCGCCAGCTTCTTCTCAACCCCCTTCACCAAGTCTCCAACTGCATGCTTCTCGATTTTCATCACGCCATCGCTTCCGCGCTGGTCGGAGCGGATAGCGAAATTGGATAGCGGCAGCGAGAGCTTACGGGCACGCTTCTCGGCGTGTTGGAGGAACTCCTCGTCGGAGGCGACGATGTCGTCGTCGAACTTTTGGATGAGGAGGGTATGTGCTTGGTCGAGGGAGGTGAGGGCGTGTGTGTGCAGGTTTGTAGCGGCTGTTAGGTAGTGGGCTGTTTGGTGGGAGGTGGGTTCCTGTTAGTCATTTTGTTTTTGGGTTGCTGATGAGGTTAGGAGTGGCTGGGAACGTATGTACCTTTGAGTTCGTTGAGCATCTCTTCTGTTTCGGCGGAGAGGGTTTCCTCTTGGACTTTAGCAGCAGGAGAGTCTCGTTTTCTCTTGCGGGCTTGAACAGTAGAGGTAGGCTGGCGTTTGAGAGGAAGGGTAGGAACATGGGCAGCGTCTTGTTCCTCTTGTTGCTGTTGTTGTTTTTGTCTTCGCTGCTGTTTCGAAGGCTGGGTTTCTTCTCCAAAGGCCGCTTGGATCTTCTTGAAGAAGGGGGCAATGGTGGTTTGCGGCCGGGAATGAAGCTCGATCTTTGCAGGCTCGGGAGTCGGCTCCTTCTTTTTCTTCGGGCGAGCAAAGAGACGCTCCTTGAAGGACTGGGCTGGCTTTGGCTGAGGAGCAGAAGGGCGCGTTGATGAAGCATCGTTGTTCATAACTCTGTTGGCCAGCCTGGGAGAAGTGCGCTGCTGCCGCTTCGTGCCATTGGGCAAAGGCTCTTTTTGGTCGGCACTTTTGGGGCGGTGGCCCCATGGTAATTATGTTTGGAGTGGTTTTGGAGCGCAGCATGGTTGACATGGTGTTGAGGGTCTCGGATGTGTGCTGACCCGCGGACGGAAATTGCAGAAAGTATGAGGCCGGCAACACCACCCAGACATCCGAAAACACAAAAAACATGAAATGCAAGGAGTGGTGATTTTATGAATACCGGATTCCTTAAAGTTGGAAAACGTTTTGTGCGCACAGATATCTCAAAATTGCCCAGCGTCCGCGGAAGGAAGTCGCGAAGGAGAGCACTTGCCATCTCGGTATTTCCACACCCGCTCAGCTTGCATGCCTAGTTTGCATCAACAATTTTCTGGACCAAGTGTTAGCACCGCATACGCAAGTTCACTGGGAACTGAATCAATCATTACCACGGAGAATCCAAATACGAGTCGGTCAGTTAGTTGATGTGTGTCGATGATTGGAACCTGCGTCATGAGAGTCTGCCTTTTTGAAAATATGGGATGGGTAGAATCAATTGCCCCTAGAGGTAGCGAGCATCGTTCCTTCCTGCTTTCCTCAGAAGTTCACAGACAATCATACTGGCCTCGAGTTTCGTTTCCATGTGTTTTTGCCATGTATATAAACACTAAATACAATTTGGTATATACAATCCGTCATCTATCCGTCCATGTACATTTTCTGTCCGTCCGGTCCGTTCCTTTTTGGTAAAACCTGTACCTTCTTTTTCCTGTACCATGTGTCTCTCTCTGTGTATGTGCATGAAACGCTTGTCAAAAACTCTCAACTCTTTAACAACTCGCTTCAAACTCGCTTCGGGATATCATCCTCCTCTTTAACTTCTTTTCACTTTCTCTTCCTTCTCTTTTTCCTCATCTCCAAGACCGTCAGTCTCGGTCGTCACCCAAAAGGCAACTTAGTTACCCTTAGCCAACAAGTTCAGCGCGCTACCGGCCAAAATGAAACCAGCCTGATCCTTGGAAACAGCATGCTTAGTCGGGATCTCCACCACCTTGCCGGTATCCTTCTTAGTAACCCTCAGGGAAACCTCGCCCTGGCCACCGTTCTTGAGCATCTCGTACAGACCGACAGTAGCCACCTCATCGCCGGCGTCAATCAGATCGTAATCGTTCTCGTTGGCGAACGTGAGAGGGACAACACCCTGCTTCTTGAGGTTGGTCTCGTGGATTCTGGCAAACGACTTGGTGACGATGATGCGGGCACCGAGATAACGGGGCTGAAGAGCGGCGTGCTCGCGCGCGGAGCCCTCGCCGTAGTTGTGCTCGGCGACCACGAGCCACGGCTGGCCGCGCTGCTTCCAGTGCTTGGCCAGCTCGGGGATGGTGTGCTTGGAGCCGTCGAGGTCGTAGGCGACGTTGACCTCACCGGTGGCGGCGTTGACGGCCGTGTTGAGCGTGTTTTCCGAGATGTTGGGCAGATGGCCCTTGTACTTGAGCCAGGGACCGGCGGCGGAGATGGTATCGGTGGTGCATTTGCCGGTGACCTTGACGAGCACGCGGAGGCCGGACAGATCCGAGTCGGGGAAGGGCTCGAAGGGCTCAAGGAGGGCGAGACGCTCAGAGGAGGGCGAAATGGCAACGTCCACGTTCGGGTTGGGGTTTCCGGACTGGACTTGGAAGACCTCGCGGCCGGCTTCAAAGGGGGTTTCGGGACCCTCGAGACCCTTGGGCGCAGGGAACTTGAATTCCTTGCCATCGGGGGTGGTCAGGCTGTCGGTGATGGGGTTGAAGGTGGTGGAACCAGCGTAGGCCATGGCGGTGACGATCTCGGGCGAGGCGAGGAAGTTCATGGTCTCGAGGTTGCCGTCGTTGCGACCGCGGAAGTTTCTGTTGTAGGAAGTGAGAATCGCGTTGGGAGTGCCCTTGGGGATGTCATCCTGACGCTTCCACTGGCCAATGCAGGGACCGCAGGCGTTAGAGAGGACGATACCACCAGCCTCCTCGAAGGTCTGAAGGGTGTTGTCTCTTTCAAGGGTGGCACGAATGCCCTCGGAACCGGGGGTGATGTAGAAGTCGGCAGCGGGCTTGATACCAGCCTGCTCGGCGGCCTTGACAATGCTCTCGCAACGGGTCATATCCTCGTAGGAGCTGTTAGTGCAGCTACCAATGAGACCAGCAGAAAGCTTCTCGGGCCACTTCTGCTCCTGAACAGTCTTCTTGAACTCGGAAAGAGGGATAGAAAGATCGGGAGTGAAGGGACCGTTGATATGGGGCTCGAGTTTGGAAAGGTCGATCTCGATCAACTCGTCGTACTGGGCGCCCTCGTCGGCCTTGAACTTGAAGAAAGAATCCTGGCCGGAGCCCCTGCTAAAGTTCTCAAAGTTCTTGGCGTCCTTGTCGGCCTGCTCGCGGTTGGTGGCCTTGAGGTAGCGGCTGGAAGCCTCGGTGAAGGGGAAGATGGAGGTGGTGGCGCCAATCTCGGCACTGTAGAAAGAAATGTCAGTCAATGCATTTCTGTACGACAGAATAAAAGCTTCGGGGAACTTACCCCATGTTGCAGGCCGTGGCCATACCAGGCAGGCTGAGTGTCTCAACACCAGGGCCAAAGTACTCGACAATGTAGCCAGTACCACCACGGACGGTAAGCTTGCCGGTAAGGTAAAGAATGACATCCTTGGCGCTGACCCAATCGTTGAGCTTGCCAGTCAGGCGAACACCGAGGATCTTGGGGGCCTTGAGCTCCCAAGGTGCACCAACGAGAGCCTCAACAGCATCAGCACCGCCGACACCGATAGTGATGGTAGTCAAACCACCAGCGTTGGGAGAGTGGCTGTCGGTTCCGAGCATCATGAGACCGGGGACGGCGTAGTTCTCGAGAACGGTCTGGTGAATAATACCAGCACCGGGAGGCCAGAAGTCGATACCATACTTCTTGCCAGCCGACTCGAGGAAGTCGAAAACCTCGTTGTTGGTGGCAATACCGGCCTTCAAGTCCTCATCGGCACCCTTGGATCCAACAATCAAGTGGTCGCAGTGAATACTGGCAGGGATAACAGGCGAGGGGAGATTACAAGTCATGAACTGCAGGAGAGCCATCTGGGCCGAGGCATCTTGCATGTTCACACGGTCGGGCTTGAGCTTGAGGTTGGCCTTGCCGCGGACATCACGGCCGCTGTTGGTGTTGGAGAGGAGCGACTCTTCGACATTGTCGAGGTGGGAGTAGAGGATCTTCTCGGCCAGGGTCAGGCGCTGCGAACCCAGCACGCGGCGGACCTCGGAGTACTTGTTGTAGAGGGTCTCATATCTGGGAGGGAGAACGCCGTTGCTGTTGTTGGAGGAGGTGGAAGAAAATGAGCGGACGGAAGCGCATGCGACGCGCGGGAGCTGCTTGGCTTGGATTGCCCGCTACGAGAAAGGACAAGGTGTTAGCGCTGGTTAGTCACCAAACGGCTCTTTATTTTGTAGTGCAATCAGATTGGGGAAGTAGAAAAGGCATACCTTGAGGGCAACGCCTGAGCGACTGGCGAGATCAATTGACCTCATGATGTACGATCTGGGCTGACAGACTGTACAGGAGGAGGAGGACTTGGTTGTTTGGAAAAGGCAGCGGAAGAAAAGAGAAAGACAATCGGAATCCCGAAGGAAAAAGTTGTTGGTTACACCATCCCGTCTTCACCTTGGTCCGAATTACGGAGTCATTGCGAGTGCCGCCCGCCACCCAAGCGGTAAATCCGGGGATGCGGTACACTACAGGTACGCTAGTTGCCTCCTCGGCCAATGAAATTCCGCATTATATTCTAAACAAATGCAAGTCTTCTTATTTCTCCTTAAGCCCAAGTATGAGTTGTCCTGTCAGTTGGGAAATCTCAAGCTAGAGTGACTCAAACAACAACTTGATGTCTTGAAGTCGAAGTTGTATCCATCCCACTGCCGTCAGAATGACTAACACCGGGGCAGCGCTGTCGCTGTCTTCTGGGATTCCCAGGTCCCCAAAAGTCCCGGATCGCAGGTAAACCCCTGGCAATACCCTTGACCGATGTCAACTTGGATCCGCCAAGCCGGGGACGTTGCAGTGGACCACATCTCGCCATTTCAGACCAATCATAACCCGTGTGTTCCTAATCGATCCTCACTGTCCGCGACTTCGGCCGAGCTTTCATCTTGAGTTGTCCTTATATCCGACGGAATTGTACTTTTGTAAATAGCAACACTTATGCTACTACCAGTAGGTGTTTATGAAAGCGACCTGGCCGGAATTTTTGAGAATTCATGCCGATTTGTGATATTGGACTTCTACCAAACATTACTTGCATACCCATGAAACGCCATTGCCATAAGCCGATTCTACTAAACAACCCGCCATTCGCTTTCAAAAAGAATACCCCGAAAAAGAAAAAAAACATATAATGATCCCCCTAGCATGACACTGCACCTTGCAGCTTCGTCGCCCTTGCATAAACAGTACATCATACCTGTAAAGACGCAGATCTTCAAAGCCCTCCGCAGTCGCCCTACACTACAGCGGTGTCGTAAATTGTCGTCGTCTCCTCAGCTTCATCCAAAAGTTCCCACTAGCGAGCTTCGGAGTAATCGTTCAGAGCGACGCATACGATACCACGATGATGGCCGTTATACTGCCTGATGACAAGCTGCGTGTGTAACTCCCACAGCCGCGCGTAATGATCGCTGCAGGCAGTTACCAGGTAGGCACTATCGGCGCTGAAGGCACAATCCCATACCCAACGCTGATGCTCTTTAAGAGTGGCCTCGAGGGGGAACGGCTGCGGTTCCGAATCGGCCGTGGCAGGTTCCATCTCCTTGACTTCCCATATCCTGGCCGTATGGTCGGCGCTGCATGTTGCGAGCTTCTTGACATCGGGCGATAGTAGGATGCGTGTGATGCTTTCCTTGTGTGCGGAAAAGTGGGTGAGGGGGATCAGCTGGGTGCGGTCATACGCCTGGATGAGTTGCCAGACAAATACGTTGCCCTAGGAGAAAGAAAGGGGGTGTCAGTCTCGGGGAGATACAACAGGAGGTTTCTCCGTGCAGGGAAAACCTACAGCAGTGTTGGCCGCACAAAGGAGTGTACCGTCACTGGCAACAGTGACACTTGTCACTGAAACATCCTCCTCGGGGATTAGCTGGTGCGAGCAAGTGTTCTCGGCCAGATCCCACAGTCTGATGCTTCCGGCGCGGTCGCAGCTAATGATCTCTCCCTGATTAGGGTGGATGACAACGTCGTTCGCCGGGGAGCCGTGGTTGTAGCTGCGCTGGATAGTTCCGGTGCGGGTTTCCCAGATCTTGACTGTGCCGTCCTCCGAGCTTGTAACCATCCACTTGCCCTCGCAATGGAAGGCCACACCGGTCACATTGCCGGTGTGGCCCTGGAAGGTCATGAGGGCCTGGGGGTTTGTGGAACGAATATCGAATAGTTTGACATCGCGGTGGCCGGCGGCGGCGAGGTATCGCTTGTCAGGGGATATACAAAGACGGTTCACTTGAGACTCGGGGTGTTGGATGGTGCGCGAACAGATTCCTGAGAGCGCCTCCCAGAACCTGATGGTGTGGTCGTAACCAGCTGTAAAGAGCAAAGTGAATGAAGAGTCAGCAGCTGTTCCTATTTGACAGAGGGAAAGACTGGATCAAGGGGTTGGGGCATTACTGCATCGGCAAGGTAGACCGGGACAAGACAAGCCATACCTGTGCAAAGGATAACCGACATGATGGCGACTGGACTGGACTGCGACGGGAATACAGAGGCTATGATTCCATAGTCCACAGATACTTTGACTCCGGTGCTCGGGCAGTCGGTTGCAGGAAGCGACAGGAACGCGTCAGTAGGGACGGAAAATATGAGACTCGGATCAAAGTAGAACTAGATGTCTCGAAAATGGAACTGAAGTGGAAATCGATGTGAACGACAAGCGGCCCTGGTGATCGCGGGACAGCACTGGACTGCCTCGATTGATAGCAATTGATAGCGCTGCATGGACAAGGCAGGGCGGCAGGGGCAGGCAAGAGACGGATGAAGTGGAGTGTACTTAAGGTTGCCCCACAGTTGGGGAGGGACAAACGGTGGGGCTCAAGTTGAGCATGAATTACAGTGGATACCCTAGTAAATGCAACTAATCCGGGCTCTAAAGGGAACTGTCAGAAATTAAAGTTTACAGAGGTGCTGATGCAACCTGTCATATGTAATTTAGCGGGTTGGTTACGGTGGTAACGGCACAGATTTTTTTATATAAGATTTACAAAGTATAAAATTCTACACAATTAGCTAATACTATGCTTTGTAACTGCTTTATACTATCTTGTAGTATAGAAGGCTGATTGAATTATTCCTTCTATAGAATCAGTTCACTCAGCCTCTATAGAATATGCTAGAATATAAAGATTTTGCCACTATATTTGAACATTTTCTAACTTGTTCAGCATTCCTTCTAGACTAATTTGCCATTATGGATTACATCAGAAGCTTATAGATTCAGTTTGTTTCTTTTATAGTCTAGTGTGTTACGAGGCACCAGCTCACGTAGTTTCGTATCGCGTAGTTGGGTACAAATGAATAAATAACTAAAGCTAAAGAAGAAAAGAGGGAGAGATTAAGAGCTGGGCTCTAGAGTGCATCCTCACATGAGAGGAGCCCAGATTCTGCCAGTCTCTACCGCCTTTCTTATCTAATCTCATAATGTATAAAAGTTGCGAGATCTATATTGTCACATAGTGCTTCTACAAGCACTTTTATTAACTTATAGAAGCTTCTACATTCTGGAAGCTTCTAGATACTTAATGTTCGTGTATATAAAGATATCTTCTCTTCTTTAGTTAGTTACTCCTTAAGCAAGTAAGTACAATCCAAGCAATACAATACAGTCTACTCCTATAGTCCAGAGTTCACTATAATTGTTTTTTTCATAGTGCAGAGTCCACTGTGCTCTTCTGTCTTGGAAGCAGAGTTCTCTCTAAGACCTCTTTTACAATATCCTTCTATTGTCTTTGCTACTACGCTGCTTTCTTTAGTACTGCTGTTGTACTTCCTACCACTTCCGCTCCGCTCTACTACAAGTGCATAATTTACTGTAGCATCTCTATACTGGTGCTATTATTATAAGCCAGTTAGGCCATTGCAGCAAACAATATTGTAAGGGTTCTACGAGGTATACACACAGGTAGGCCTTGGTGAAAGTGATAATATTCGACAAAGAGGAAAAGGGAAGTCTGTGCCAGTATGGCATGGAGCTTACAGCTAAATACACAAGAGAGGTGCGTATATCGAAGGTGCTAGAAACGCCAAGGTCGAAAATGTGGTTCGTGCGGCATACCCCAGGAGTGCACCCAGTCAGAGGGCAGGCCTGGCTTTCATAGAGTTCAAGCCAGGCAAACACCCCTAGGCGCCAGCCCCATGACAAATATCAATTGACTCTTGCACGTGCTTATATTCTACAAGAACTTCTAAAAAACTTGCATTTACTAGACATCTTGCATTTACTAAGGTCTCACTTACATACAAACTAGCTAATCTCGGCCGCTAATATGCTTGCATTTAATAGGCAATTTTGTATGGACTTGCATTTACTGAGGGTTGCATTTACTAGGGTCTCTACTGTATGTCAGCAGTTGTTGTTGAATTGCCTGCCGGGACCGTCCACTAACACGTCCTCGACCAACCAGCAACAGCAATTCTGTTTTATCAACTTCAACGTTCTTTCATTCCATCTCAACCAACTCCAACAGCAAGACTTCAACATGGACTTTTTCTACTCATCTTCGCTATTCTCAAGGCTTGGATCCTCTCCATACCCATAATTCACCCCTACTTCTGTCTTCTTCTACTCATAAATCCAAAAATAGCACCATCCCCAATTCAGCACACAGTCCTCCTTCAAGGCCTCTGTTCCCTCGTCGTCCAGCAAATTCCCAGTGTCCACCTTGATGCCGCGAGACGCCATGTACACGAAACACCCGCTCGTTGCACTTGATGCCGTCATTATCCATATCCGTCTTGGACATGCTACTTCGACACCTCCAGCTTCTCATTGATTGGTGATGAGGTCTATGGCAAACCGCGAGTACCAGATGCGTTGTTTCCCTTGCCTTCCGCCTCCCGTCCCCCGCCTCCCAAGTTGGCCTGTGATAGAGTGTCCTGTACCACCGGTCGTCGATGTCCGTTCAGCAACCTATCAATATTCGCTCTCTGTTGGTCAACGTCTGCCGGGGCCTGCAACTTTAAGCGCGAGTGGGCCCTGCTTCTGTACTACCGACACCCTATAGTCCTACTTTGCTCCGTGGACAGTTCTCTTGTAAGTGAGTGGGTGGAATATCACTGATTGACCCCCGAGAGCACATGTGGAGACTGACCTATCTAGATCCCATTTTTCCCGCGCAAGTGAGTCCGGCCTGACGAACACACACAAGTCGCCAATCCTCAAACTCCATAAACGGCTGTTTGCGTCTCAGAACCCGTCTTTGCGGTGGACGTCCAACTGTTGGATCCTTTCTCGGCGCCCGAGTGTGGTACGGGTACCCGATTCCGCCAGAGCTTTCGGCTTCTCCCGGTTATCAGCATGGTCAACCAACTTCCACGGGGCACCATTCCCGCACTGGACTTTTTATTTGCCCGATCGTCTCCTCTCAGCGACCTGCGTCATGTCGCCCGCCATCGCTGTGCTACTTGTCGGTTTCGTTCCATGTCCGAACTTGGGATGAATCCAAGCATCTCGAGAAGCACACATGCTCGGTTTCCGTTCCGAACTCAACCTTCGGACTTGCGGTGAGGCCACACCTCAGGTAGCACTCGGAACAGCTGACTGGACGCGTTTTGTCTCCCATACAAGGCGAACCGAGGATTCGGGTGCTGGGCAGCACAACTCTGGTCACTCAGTGAATGCCCGGTCTCACTGGAAGCACAGTTGGCCACCGGGTTGTACAACGAGCGGTTCTACACCCACGACTTTGTCCTTCATCGAGCTTCGTCTGAATCGCAAAACCTACGAACCTGTTAGCCTTGTAGCCTTGGGTCCTTGTGAGAACGACGGCCAAAACTGCATGTGGTTTACCCCTACCATCTCAGCGAGTTGGCCGTCCCTTTTCTGCAAAACTACCGGTGATGCAAGCAACCGATATCAAAGAACAGCGTCCTGGTATGCATGCATGGTACCGCTCCCTCGCGCGATCACCCAGCAAGGCCCGATGAACCATTTCGTATTCCCATGGAATAAACCAAGACACGGGAATGCGGCTGCTAGCAGAAGCGTTGACATGGGTGGTACTGAGCCATTCAGAACGACAGGTGGTAGTGTGTCTAAGGAGAACCTGATGACCCTCTCGGCTCCAACCGAGGGTTCAAATAGTATTCGGCTGATACGGAATATGCCTAACGAATGACTCCTTTTCTACTGCTCCTTCGTGGCTAGGCTGCAGGCTCGGGGCCGCAGCCTGACGCACGCAACGCGACGCAGCGTAATGCCAGATCAACTGATCTGAAGCCAACAAAGAAATCCTGTGCAGCATCCTGGACGCCTGCAGAAAAGAAAGGGGGGAAAGGGGAAAGAGGGAAAAGAAGACACGAGAACCAGAACCAGAACCCCAACCCTTCAACCCTTGCAAATGGAAAACAAAAAGAGGTATCAAAACATCCAAGACCCTGATCAAAGCACAAACCCCAAAACACCTTGCCAAACACAACATAACCTTGTACTCCCGCCCTTAGCCTAACGTCAGCACAGCTTTGTCTTGTTGTTTGTACATCCCGAGACCTTTAGCACCCTTCTCTCCCCATCACACTAGGCGGCGCGTCCGTGTCCATGAGATGTTGGTGCCCAGCCACCATGGTCACCGCATCGCCCACCACTACGACCACCGCGCCCGTCGTGGTATCCACCATTGCCTCCAGAACCACCAGGAGCGGCACCGCTGAAATGGTATGGCGATGGGGTCTGAGCGCCATGGTCGCAAGCTAACGAGATCATTCCATTGTGACAACTTCCACACCACCTTTAGATCGTCAGCATCAAGTCCAGAGTGTAGGAAGTTCAAGTGTTAACACTAACTGGCGCATACTGCCAGCGCAAGCATGGCAAGTGTCGAAATATACCCTCCGTCCGTTGACCAAAACGCATCCACAGCTTTCGGGCTGGTGGCTAGTCATGATGATGAACTTTGTTGATGTGCAAGATGGGGCTATTCTGTGCGGTATATGGCGAGTCGTTTAACCAATGGTAAAGAGGTTGGTAGTAAGATGAAATTATCTTGTCAGGCTGGAGACTAATGAGGCAGACAGAACACGGCGTCGGATGGGCGGAATTCTTATAGTTGTGAACCACGGCACGCACTCGGGGTCTTCAGATGCAAACGATTATGACTTACACAGAGACACCACCTCACCGCTAGACACCAACCTTTGCGCCATATCCTGACGTAGTATTGTCTACGCCGGTGTCTGGTATTCCTATCCCAGACCCGAAGCCGTTCCAGAGGGGTCTGCTGATCAACGTGGTTGACCGGTTATGATGCTGCCGCTCCGAGATGGAGGGTATGTTGGACCATCGGCGCCCTTTGGCCGGTACCATGGCACTCAAGCACATTGCGGTTGGGCCGAGGGCACACGAGAGACGGGCCAATGTTGCCAGCGCAGTAAGAGTGTTCAGGTTCGACCCTGTATCAGAAACTGCCCTAGCTCCTCTTCTGGAAGGCGTCTCCCGCCTTGTCTCGGTTGTGCTCATC